AAAGGGGAATAAGGAAAAAAACTGGTGAGTGATAATATGGTAGGGCTGCAACCTATTCAATATCCCAGGTCTTTTCTAAATATAAAATGCAATGACAGAAATAGAATCCAATACCAATATATCAAGAAGAGCCAAAACAATCAGAAGTTTCCATAAATAACCATGTAATGGCTTAATATGAAAATCTAATGGAATCAATCATGGCAGATTGTTTGGGATTAAATGTCTACATCCAATCAGTAAAACCCCAACCAAGAAGGCAAGGAATTGGCTTCAAAAGTCTGGCAAATGAACACTGTGTGTCCTTAAATTCAAAAATTTCACGTTTCTTTGTTGAGCAATGATCACAACAGCTCTAAATTTTCCAATCCCAGAGTCTTTTTCTGGAGTCATGATAACGCAAAGAGAAGATTACCTCAATGTGGTTTTCCACTTACACTGCCCCCTCAAAGAGGCAAACAGATAAAAAGATGAAACAAAGTTCATATTTAATCCTCAACTATTTTGGCCGCGTTGAAACTTTCCAATGAGGACAAGGACAAACAAGCAGCCGAAATCATTTCTTCGTCAATGGCTCTCAGTGCCGAAATTACGGCCTTAAGCATCTTTCATTTCTGTCGTATTTTTCCTTAAAGGGAAATTACGATTCAGCCTCTCTTAGCAGGTGCTCAGCAACGTTTTTGCTGTCAATTCTAGAGTAGCCAATTGACATTCAACGCATACAGCTGACAGAATGCTGAGAATTGCAACTTTTATACTTTGATTAGCTACAATGGGTTTGAGTAGCTTTACAAAAATGGGCTCATGGGAGAAAGATTGAAAATGTTAAATGCCCAATATGATAATGATTTTTCGATTGAAAATTTCTTGTTACATTGCTTTCAAAAGCACCGTAATGAAAACAGCAGTGTAAACGACGTGAATGGCTGCGTCAGGAAACAAAAATGGTTATCTGATAACAGCATTGAGATTAGAAAAATACATTTGTAGATGAATAAATGTAGGTAAGTCAAGGATTAGGTGAAGCCTACTACATAAATTTTGTACAGTACATTTTTTTTTTTTTTCAAATTTGAAACGTATTTAAGGGGATAGCTGTTACTCAAAGTAAAAGACAAACCAGCTGGAAACCAACAACGAATTGCAACATTAAGATGGAGACATGATCCCTAATATTTAAAAAATGATACTACTAGGAATATTATAATGGAAGAATTCTACAGGCAAATAATTTCCTTATTCCAATTGTCGTTTTGGATCGTATTGTCAGTTACAGACTTCCAGCATTAATATTTCTCGCGAAAACTATGCATGCAGTCTAACTCCAGTATAAACCTGAAGTTCCATTATCGTGCTGTAACTTTAAGAAGAATTTTGATTCTTGAAATTGTAAATAGATTACTCAGAATTTATATCACAATGTACATACGTAATTTCTCTACTGATTTTCTCTAAACTTACATTAGCATATCTGTTAAAATCAATCCACTAGTAACAAGCACAATCAATCGCTTCTATATTTTAATAACAATCAGATTAGTTTCTTGTGGATTAAAAATTTGATTTGGGTTTTTACATTCGGAGGATCATGGAAGAAGTAAGCTGCCGGCTATTGATTCTAAATATTCGGTAGGTGAGGCGGTGGAGACTGGAGAGATGTGTTCAAACCTGCATGTGAGGCTGCAGGCTCGATAGGATAGACTCTAGATAGTTTTGACTTGACAATATCAAAATCTACAATGCCTGCTAAGTGCCAGCCCAAATATCCAGGGAAATTAGAGAACATTTAAAGATAAACGAACAAAACCAAGATATTTTCGTGCAAAAAACTGAAACAAATTCCATTAATTATTGGCTTCTTATATTTATTTCCAGTTTAGCAATAGCTATCAAATGTCAATATTTCCTGTAAATTATTGGGCAGAGAGATTGAATCCTGAAAAAGGCTTCAGCTTAGCATTAGGGATGTCTCGAAAATTTTTAGCCTTACATGATGAAGGTACAAAAGTCACTTTTTATCCTTCTGGCTTCCTCCTCCATTACAGCCACTCATGGTGGGCATGTACATTGAGCCTTGATGCTGACACTTTTTCAAGGTCATTTTCTCCTAGACTCGGAGCTTTTTTCCTTTTCATTGTTTTGAAAAGATATATGTTTTTTTGTAATTTTAAAAAGCCAATTTTCTGCTGTCTATGAATATTCTTCATGCTCCAAAATTGACATGGAATGTAATCTGTGAAGGAAAATTGGGATGGCATTTGTTTACTTTTTGTGAGAGAAGGGCAAAAGTTGAGAGGTCGTGAGGGGCCATGGTCAATCACATGGCCCTGCTATTTTTATATTCTTCTCATGATTAGTGGCATGACATTCGCTGCTTTGACAAAAGCCATTTATTCAGTTCAATCCAGCCATAAAACAAATAAACAAAAATGAAAAGAAAAGAGAATCCTGTCAAGGTTCTACATTCTTTTCCTGTGAAGAGAATTAAGCATTAAATTGGTTCCTTTAAGAGTAAACCTTTGGAAACAGGAAAAAATTAAGGTTAAATCAGTTTATTCTAAGTTCCAAAATTGTGTAGTTTAACTTATCTTTTCCAACCTTTCGTTCTTTCGGCAAGCCTATTTGTTACAAGTTGCAAAGATTATTTTTATGATCAATTACTTTTCGGCATCCAAACCCTTTGATTTGGTGGGAATAAATAGCTATTCAGCCATTTGTAATTGGTTGATTTCTTAAAGGTTCCTCAGATTAAAACACTTAATTTCTTTTCCGTATTAGACTTCCATGGGTTCAAGAGAGAGAGAGAGGAGCAGCTCCACAAACCATAACGAAGGCTAGCATGAGTAACCTACGGTATGTTGGCGGTTATAACTAATAGTTCATTGAACCAACGCATGCAAAGTTGGCGTCAAAGCCATTTAGCCAATGAAATGGAGTTATGCTAATTGTTATATTAACGCTTTTAAAGGTGTGAATAATCATATGATCAATGCGGATTCTGTTTTTTTTTTTTTTAACTTGGATGAGTTCATAAAAACATATTGTCCTGCATGACAGACAAGACAGCATATCATTTACCTTCTGCTACCATTGTCTTCCAAATGGTTTCTTAAAATGTGCGTATGTGACCAAAATATTTGTGTCTCATTGAACTTTCCGGTTATTGTGTTGGAAATTCGCAGTTCACGGGTGGAAGTGACAAGCTGGATCAGCATGTCCAGGCATCCTGGAGAAATTTTGATCAGAACTCCAGGTTTTTGGCTTCGAAGTGATAGTAAGATCTCCGTCCTGATGGGTTTGTGCCTTTTCCGCTATTTGTTTAGAATGGCCTTCGCTGCTTAATTTTTTCTCTGGACAAATATCCACCCCAAAGGGGGCGACTCCAAAATAAACAAGAAATGCCTTTTAGGGCTTGAATGAAAGTCCTTTGGGCCCTTTGCACCTGGACAAGGCAGTAAGATGCCTTTCATTTCATAATTTTGAATGCGGCCTGGGGGTAAACAAGTAGAAAGTCGTGGGCTTTAACGTCTACTAGTAGCCAATATGAATAAATAAAGGATCTAAATTTCATTACAATTCAGTCATTAAATGTATACAGGTTGCAGGTATAGGAATAAAGAATGCTTCAATAAAAATCTAATGTGTGTTTTCTTGTGTATTCAGAACCTACAAAGCTTGTCCCAGCCAGTGCTCATATACATGGAAGTCCAAACATTTGGACTCATGCTCTAAGACCACCGATGAATTCTCCAATTGTTAGATAATATGCATATCCTGAGAGGTTGCAGGTGAAAAAACCAACCATGCAACGGCTGTTTACACTTTAGAATCGTATCATACGTCACTTCTACAATCACAGGCATCCTACTCAGCTCCTTGACGAAGAGCACTCCTATAATGTAGTCTTGATGCTTTTAAATTACGACTGTTTAAGTCTCAGGTGCCAGGATACGTGCTGCCCGTGCTAGAAAGGATAATGAAGGCACAAACAACCGAAAGTGAGAACACAGACACCCAAGTGTTTTCAGTGTACATATCCATCGCATCTGTAAAGGAGAACTGAGTACGGTTTTCAGCCCAGTTGCGAATTCGGTCTGCCTCTGCTGCATATAATGCCCTACCCTGCAGTACATATTTTTGCGTTAAAAAAAATGGGAAAGTAGTAAAGAGGGAAGCAGTTTAATCTCCCAACAGTTCAGATACCAAAATGATAACACCACATTTCATTGAAACACAATCAATTCAAGCAAAAGGAGGCTTTCAAGCCAGAAACTGCGATCAGAACAAGAGACCATGCAGCATACAGAACTTGAAGAAGTGGCCTAAGCTTGGTGACATCGTTTAACTCTAAATATGAAATTTTCACATAATTATGAGGCTGGCTTTAGGTGTAGTGTAACAGAGTAACTTTAAAGTTTGAATTCTCAGTTTATCCAATGCAGCTGAGTTAATTAAAAAGGTTTGAGGAACAAAATTTTACAGTCGAGCGGAAACATTCCCTTAGTGCAGGATTCATTAGCTGCAGGATACCATTTTGTCTTCAAAATTGCAACTATGTGACAAAATGTCTTCCCCCAGAGAATCAAGGTTACCTGTTCATCAAACCATCGACCTTGTCGAAGCCAGGCAGTGACTAAAGCCAGTAATATCCGAGGTGGGGTCAAGTAGTTGATGGCCTTCCCTGTTCCCTTTACAACCCGCATTCGTGGAACTAGACTTCTAGCAACAGTTTCAGGAAGCTCACAGATAATGTTAAACATTTGTTTATTCTTTATGGTTGAGCCACTGTTAAAGAGCAAAAGAAATATTGAGTCATGTTAGCACATTTACCAAGTGTTAAATATTTGTATCATGCAAAACATAATGACAGTGAAGGACTAGTCAACCAAAGCAGATTGGAGACTGCCTGTTTATCAAGTTTAGTTAGTCAAATTACACGCTCAAAATAGGAACATAACAGTTGCAACCCCCTAAAAGAATGAGTTGAACTAGCCAACAGTAAAAAGTGAGTGCCTCGAAAAATTCAGGACATTCCAACATACCTCAAGAGCAAATCTGTAAGGACCATGCCTGGAGATGCTGTATGGATCCCCACTTTAGATCGCTTGCACTCCTTCAAAAGTGATGCATGAAGCTGTCTAAGACCACACTTCGTTGACCCATATCTAGAAGTTTGAGGAGATAAAAGACAGTGAGAATTATTATTAACTATTAAAAACATCAGAACCAAAAATGTTTTGAGAAATGTTAAAACAAAAATTATCAAAAGTATTACAGGTGCAAGATAATAATGGCTGCCCACAAGAAGAAGAACTAGCTCCAGTAGTGGTAGATAATGACAACTTACACAGCAGTCAAAGGAGTGCTAGATCCCCCAGAACCTGCACCATCCATGTTAAAAATGTGGCCCCCCTTTGGCTGGTTTTTCATGATGCACATGGCTTCACGAGTGCAGAGAATAGAACCAACAAGATTTGTTGAGACAATCTACCACATAATCAGCTAGTCAGATACAAGCTACTGCCATCTTCTTCATTTTTTTTTTCTTTTGAGAAGTAAAAAGAAATTTTATTAATAACAAAGGATTCAAAATCCATCACAACATAAACAACCAAACTTAGCACCCGGCAATACAGAGTAACAAAAAACAGGTGTGGGAACAGTAAAGATTTCATTTGCGGCATTTTGACAAACACCCTAGAGCAAAGCCAATCAACCCACTGAAATGGGCATAGAAAAAGCAAAATTCCATCTCAAAACTGACAACCCATCTCAAGAGTACAAACAAGCTCAACTCACCACAAGCTTCCATCAAAACTTTAATGCCTCCTCCCAGAAAACTGCCAGCTTGTTAACCATATACATTGTACTAAAAGGCCATTCCAGCAACTAGATACCAAAGTGTGCATACATGTGAATAAAAGATTTGTGTTACACACACTAATTAGAATGAGAGAGAATCAATTGCTAGTTGGTTATTGGTTAGTTTGATCCTTACACTATACACAGGCAGTAGCAATGAAAACAAATCACAAAGGGCAGGAACTAATAACTCAATATCCTAGAGCCTACCTTTTTACCAAAGCTTACAAGTTTTGAGAAGATGCAAAAAGGTTAAATTTCTCAAGTGGCAAATCCAACAAACTTAAGGATACCTGTTTAATATCTTCATCACTGAACTGTAGCAATGGTCTAAAACCTTTGTTAGTGCCAGCATTATTTATCTGTCAGAGTGTTCAAAAACAAAAAAAGTATATCAGAATCTGACAAAGCATCATAATTTGCAAGAAAATGTGGAATTCAAGAATCTCAAATGTTCTTTGTCCAATCCCAAGCACACAGGAACTAATCTTGCAGGTAACTGGACATATAACAATGCCCATAGTCATTATTAATAGTTCCGCGTAAATTGTCATAAGCTGAGCATCTATAAACATAGAATATGAAAATATAGCAAAATCTTTCAGACAGAACAATAATGTCCATTTGTCAGAAGCAACAATTCCACATTTATCATAAGGTCATTCAACTTGAACCCAAGTTTAACCTAATACCATATCCTAAAAGCATCAACATGCTAACATGACATTGTGGCACATGTCTTATGTGTGAGTGCATGTGCACACGCAAAGAGAGACGAAGGGAAAGCTACAAACATCAAGTTAAATCACTCACCCAAATGTCAACAGAACCAAGTTCATCAATGGCAAATTTGGCCAATTTTTCAACATCATTGGCATCACAAACATCACATGTTATGCCAACCACTTTTGCACGTTTGAGATCCTTACTAGATGAGCCACCTGCAGTCATACCTTCCTTGAGGTTCTCCTCGAGTTCTTTGATGGTCATGTCAACAGACTCAGGACTGTCTTCATAAAATCCAACAAGGATAATGTGTTGTGAGAACTGTACTGATGAAATTGTATCATAAACTAGGGAAAATTATCATTTTGTACTCCACCTGCGAGAAGCAACAACCACTCGATCTCCTGAAAGAAGAAATTCTCGAGCAAGTGCTTTTCCCAGTCCCCTAGTGCTACATCAGGCCAGTCAAAAAGACATAACCACAACAGGAAAAACATAAGTTTCCTGCATCACCAATTTAGTAGGAACATATCCGTGTAAAATTTTGTTTACACCTTACTAAATATTATTTCCGGCCTTAAGTGAAACTGATAGTAAAGCTTACCAAAGAAATTTAAAATCAAATATCTTTTTGCAGACCATATATTGTACCTTCCAGTTATAACAACATTTCTTGGACCAGCTCGACAGTGTTCATCTAGAACCATATTAGCTCCAATCATCGTTCCAATGATAATCCCTCCAACCCAGCTATACCAAATCAGTGTATTCATCTGACTGTCTCCACCTACAGAATTTGAACTTTCAGAGATTGATCGTTCTTTTAAAGAAAAAAGCATCTAAATCAGTTCAAATATCCACAAGTACTAAGATGTACTGTGGCTAACCTGATAACTGAAAACCAGTCAAGAGTATCACTCCAGTGCTCAGCATGGTCACAATATATCTTCCTATTTGCATAGCAATCTGGCTCATGAAAGAAGCAAAAGGTTAAATCCAAGTTGTACTGATGCTTATACTGACCAAACTTGGATAACATAATTTTGCAAACTTTTAGAAGCTGATAGCCCATATCAGCCAATAACAAAAACCCAGTAAACCATATATTTCCATAAATTACTTGAAAATAAAATTTTAAAAAAAAACTTGAAATACCTTTTTTAACCATTTAGACAAATTCTAGAATCGGAATTCATTTAAACAAGCATAAACTCACTTACCTGACCAATTATAAAGCATAATAAAAATATTTGAACTGAATTATATAGAACAAATTCCGTAGGGAACCAAGAGAGGGATAAATTATAGATATGACTCACCGAAGAGAAAACTTCCTCAACTTTAGCCACAGCTTTTTCATATTCATCTTGAGATTGAGAACCAAACTTACTGACCCCAAAAACAGAAGATCTCAAAGATTTCCAAAACCCATCTCCTTTCTCCAACTTCACTCTGTTTTCCTTCACATCCCCATACTTTCCCTCACTTTCCATCTCTTTCTCTTCCACTTCCCTTCCATCTTCTCCCCGAAACGACCGACACCTTTGCACGTACACCCCATTACGGTTTCTAGTTATAACGGGCAACCGTACAAAACAACCCCCTTGAAGCCAGTTCCGTTGTTGTTCCTTGAAACAAAAGTGCTGGTCTTTCTGGAAAGTACATAAGTGAAGCTTTGTCACTGCCGCCATTTTTGTATGATATTGGAACTGAAAACTGAAGATTCAGTTCCAACTTTATTGGCAATGAAAAAAATACTAAAATTAATCTTTCCTTTCGTATAATAATTTTCTCTTCTTCAAATTATCCCATTTATTTATTTTTTCTGTCAAGTTTTTACTTTATATAGGTAAGGTAATACATGTGTCATAAACTTTAAAAATATCGGGGAGATAGATTTGAAGCGGGTCTTTGGCGGAGCAGTGTGATGACCACACGTTAAAGAAACGTAATCTGCTGTACTCTTGGTCGACACGTGGCGTTGTGGGTCGGCGTTTTCTTGTCGTATTTCGTGGTGTTAGGAGCAGGGGATGGGAATGGAGGGTGACGCTCTTACGCCTTAAAATTTTGGCTTTCGGGTTTTGGCTTTGGGCGGTTGGGTTTTTGGGTACTCAATCGGTTGAGTAATCCAAATAATAACCACTAACGACAAGCGAGTTACGACTTTGGGACTCAATTTTGTTAGTTGACTGACTGTGGGGATGAGTTGGCGATGAAGAACAGAGATGATGACGACCAAAGCAGCCATACTTTAACCTTCATCTAGTTTTGACAATAATGGAATAGTAATTGTCAGACAAGAATCAAATTTCGAATTCTCCTGTTTAAACTAATAAAGCCAATTCTGTTCGAGCCTTTTGTTGAACTTAAAGCCTGACTTTTGTTGAATGTAAATCATGTAGAAGGTTTTAGATGGATAAACACAATGGCAGATGTTTTTCTCGATGGTAGTTCTTCGTGAGAGGTGTCTATAGGCTGGCTTAAGCGGCTTCAGTCATACTAATTCAATATATTAGTGATTGAAAAAATCAATCGAATATTTACAAAATCCCCAGAAAAACATTCAAAACCTTGTTCTCGCATTTGGAGTAGAAAATTTTGATTTAGAATTTTATTACTTATTCTCTTTGTTTCCCTCTAGAGAACAAAAATACCGAGAAAATTCACACCAAAAAGTTGAAAATTGTGATGCTCAACATAATAATTTTGACTTGAAATTAAAATAAAAAGACAGTTTTTTAAAAGTAAATGAGCCATAACATAATAATTACTTGGATTAAACAATTTTAAGTTTTTTATAGACAGTAGAAATTCATCATAATCAATTAATCAAAATAAGATTTTGCAGTAGGTTAAAATTATCATATGCACACAAAATGCACCTCAACAACACTAAATAATATAGTAGGATATTATTTGTTGTTCGCTTGTATTAATGTCATCGATAATGATAATGACTATTGATTATTGTTTCACTTTTAATGTAAATATTTGTAAAATTTGAATTAATTGTAACGACGTGAGGCTTAAAAGAATACAAGTCCACTTTCAAAAGTTTACCTTGATTATTATGTAAATATAACTTAAAGAAAATAAAATATTTATAAAATTTATAAACTATTTAAGAAAATATAAATTAATTTATATTTTATTATATTTAATTAAATTTTTATATTTTTATTTTAAGTTAAATAAATTATTTTATTTTTATTTTGAATTAAATAAGTTTTTATAATTAATAATTATCTTTGTTAAAACACTATTTATCATTTTATATCGTATGATGTTAACGTGATATGTTAACATATCATTATTAATTATAATGTAATAAATTAATATATTATAATTGATGATAATATGATATATTAATTTGATATGATAATATTGATTATTTAATATTTTTCATTAATGTTATATCAATGTTATATGAATATAAAATAATAAATGATATTTTGATTAATAATAATTAATTCATAACTATTTATAAAAATTTATTTAATTTAAAATAAAAATATAAAAATTTAATTAAATATAATAAAAAAGTTCAAATAATTGCAAATTTTATTCAAACGTTATACTTTTAAAAAATCTATTAATATGCATTAATTCTACACGTTTTCCCAACTAAATGCTTAATAGACTGCTCGACCCGTGACAGTGAAAGAAAGATTGCATTGTTGGAAAGAATGATTTAAACAAAATAGTATTACGTACTGCATACTTACAAAGAAAGAAACCAAATAACAGACAGCCTTTTTCATGCATTTGTTACACTGGCCTCCTTTACTTACCTACATGGGAACGATTAGAGATCAGCTGGACAGCAGGTCATTATTTCCACTATTTAGCTCATAAGTCATAATCTACTGTGTTGGTCCCTCCAATACTAAGCCAACAACTAGAATCGATAATTTTACACGTGTCATTAAGATAATACAAAGTTAAACCGATTTAAATTTTCTACAATGATATTTTTATTATAATAAAACAGATTATAATATGAAAACATTCATATTTTACCTGCATTGATATATTTAATCCGTTTTGTATAATTCTGTTGATATTAGAATCGCGTTAATAGATTATAATATAAAATATTTATATTTTACATGTATTAATATGTATTATCTGTACTTGATGCGTTTAATTAATCTTATTAACAAATTAAATCATATTACTCAATATATTTAATCAATTTAAACTCATTTTTTGAATTATTAATATTTTCAAAATGCATAAAATAATTCATTATTCACATTTTAATAATTTAATTGTGTCTAAATGAATTAATCATGTTGTGCCTAAATAAGTTAATTATATTTAATCGCATTAATTAATCATTTCATGTCCGATTATTTATATAATAAACATATTATGTTTGTATAAAATATTTTTGATACAATTAAATAATTATATTATGTTACAATGCTAGTGCCCGTTTCAAGCCTCCGGTTGGACAAGTTAAGGTTCGTACGATGCCGACATCACGAGGAAATGTACTCTTCAAAAAAAAATAAAATTGCGCTATGTTTGCACCAACGCATTTATTTGTTACATCTTTATCTTTACCCAACAAGATTAGATAATGCTAACATTAAGTATCAACCATATTGATAACCATTAAACTAATTCCTCCCATTATCAAGATTGAAATTAAAAAAAAAAAGAAACTAAAAATGTCCCAAAAGAAAACAGTAACAAATGCAAATATTAAATCTCTACCTTTAAAAATTGTACTTAATATGTTCAAACCTTACTGTTATTTGAATTTCTTATTTTGTTTTAACTCTAGATATTTAACACATCTTTTAATTTTTTTAAAAGGATTTCAGTAGTAAAACATAGGTAAAGGATCTATTTTTAGATATATACCAATCAAGAATTCTTTCATTTTTATTTATTAGCATAAAAAACACGTGATAAAATTTTGGTATAAATCAGATGAATAGGATAAGATTTAATATGGTATATATATGCTCATTCTCAAGGATGAACACTACTCACTCTTTTTTCACGTGATACACGATGGATACATGTTTTTTGATGCCTAGTCCTGTTTCCAGAGGAAAAAAAATACAAGTATTTGATAGAGATAGTAAGAAATAAATATGTTTATTTCCTCTCAAATAGTTAAAAGAAACTAAAAACATATTAATAAAAGAATTTAATGGTGAAATATTAATCTTTATCTTTAAAATTTTATGCTATTTATACATAATATCATTTATTTTTACTAATAATTAATTAAAAAGTTTAGCATGTCATTAAATTGAAAAAAGATAAAGACATTTAAAACTTGAGTAAAATATAGGCAACAATTATTTTATTGTTTGGGAAGAACCAAAACTTGGTTAAGAGTTTATATAAAGTGCTACACTATTGAATAAAAGAATGGATTTTGGGATGTTTATTGACAGCTTAAAAATAGGTGGCCACCTGGTGGGCGGTGGCAACTGGGAAGCTAACTGGTGAACCAGAGGGTCGCAGCCCACAGTAGAACAAAGGGTCCCAAACCCACACCACGAAAAATCCGGAAAACAAAGAGTATATAGGAAAGAGCTAAAAAAAGGAAATGTCAGATTCAGACGCGGGGGAATTTATTGCCACCTTTGACGGCCGATGACTCCCTCTCCCAACTAAAATTCCTCTCATTTTCTTTCCATTTTCTCTTTCGTTCTTTCTTTCTTTCTTCTTCTCTCACTTTTCTTCCACAAAGAGAAAAAGAAGAAGAAGAGAAGGTACTCGTTTAAGGTTAAACTATATTTCTAAAGGATGCAGATGGGTCGGGATCGAAGGTCAAGATCTGCCAAGTCCACCACCATTCATGGGTTTGCTCAGTCTGGGGATCTTGTTGGTCTCCAGAAGCTGCTCAAGGACAAGCCCTTTCTTCTCAACGAGAGAAATCCTGTTGTAAGATTCCTCCTTTTTCTTTTTTCTTTCTAAAAAATTCTTTTGATCTTATACCATTTTGTAAATGACGCATGAATTTGGATTGTTTCGCCTGCATTTTTAGCCATAGTTTTGGTTCTGTTCTTGATGGTTTAACACAATTTATTAGCGAAGATAAAAGAAAGATTTACATTTCTTTTTTATTCACCCTTTTTTCTCCCTATATATTTTCTTTGGAAATGCAGATAATAGTGTCCATAGCCGACTAATTAGATCTAGCGGGGACTTGGTTGGGCTAGAGATGTCAGTTTCTTTTAATTAGGTATAAAAAAAATGTAATGCATCGTTAATATATGTCTTAATTAGTTGTTTTACGAATTTCAGTTACATAATGCAGGTTGTTATTAATGTTATTAAATGTATCATTATAAAAAAAAAACATAGCATCTTATTTTAGCAAATAATGAAATTTGCTCCAGGTCCTGTAACCAAGGTAATTATTGTACAAGGGAGGTTGAGGGTGATGAACCCATAGTTATACAGAATGATACATGGAGTGGAGAAATGGGTTAAAGATGCAGTTTGATGTAGCATCAGTTCATTGTAAGCAAGCATGACGGTCTTTTTAATTATTTGTTGATGCAAAATTCAACCTATTTTAAAGTTGGCAGTGAAAAGTATAACTGTAAAGGGCGGTTATGACATGTTGACTGTGAACATGATAGAATCCGACACAGCATGTTAGGCGATTCTGAATTGCTGGATAAAGCTCTCTTAGATCTTCAGCTCCACTTGATATTGTACTGCTTCATTTGCTTATAACTAATCCTTTTATTTGTTCAAAAAAGGAGGTGCAACAATATTGTTTCCCTGTTTTGTTATAATAATTTGTTACCGATTTTTGTTACGTTCTTTTGCTTTATCCCTTCAGTTGTTTCTTGGTCGTATGGGCTCATGGCATATACTAACTGATTCATTGTTGATTTTTAGCTTCTAACAGTGAGATACTTCTTATGTGCTTAATTGCTACAATTCCTCTAAGATTTAGAGAGATTGAATTGAATGCCTACCACAGATATGTATAGTATTCGGAATCAATTCCTTCTTATTCTTAGGTCTATTGGTTTCATTTGGTTTTCATGCAGATGGCACAGACACCATTACATGTTTCTGCTGGGTATGATAGAGCTGAGATAATTAAATTTTTGCTTGACTGGCAAGGACCAGAAAAGGCGGAGTTAGAGGCCAAGAATATGGTATGTAAAAATTTTATTTGTTTTCACTATTTTTTCAGCTAAATATGTTTATCTGGTACCTGCTTGAAATTTTCCTTTGAAAACCTAGTAGAGCTCCTTGTTTAGGACCTTTTAGAATCCTTTGTGTTCTATCTGTTGACTTTTTCAGTATGGAGAGACTCCATTGCATATGGCAGCCAAGAATGGATGTAATGATGCTGCAAAGTTGCTTCTTGCTCATGGTGCTTTCATTGAAGCCAAAGCTAATGTGCTCTTTCTTGGATCTTTATTTCCCTTTAATTTATGTGGATGATTAGAACTGGCTGGGAAAGTTTAACTTCTATTGAAGATTTTCTACTTCCATGTCATTTATGCAGAATGGAATGACACCATTACACCTTGCTGTTTGGTACTCAATTCGATCTGATGACTATGCAACTGTCAAGACACTGCTTGAGTACAATGCTGATTGCACTGCTCAGGACAATGTAATATTCATCCATAGACTTGGTGTATTTCATTGTGCTTGATTTGTCTTATTAACAATTCGTGACAGTTGGTTTCTCTTTTGAATTGCAGGAGGGTATGACTCCTATAAAACATCTCTCAAATGGCCCTGGAAGTGAGAAGTTACGTCAACTATTACATTGGCACCTTGAAGAGCAGCAAAAGAGAAGAGCACTTGAAGCATGTGGTGAAACAAAGGCTAAGATGGATGAACTTGAAAAGGAGCTGCTGAATATCGTGGGCTTGCATGAGCTCAAAGTACAACTTCGTAAATGGGCAAAGGGGATGCTCTTGGATGAAAGGCGCAGGGCCCTTGGGTTGAAAGTTGGTGCTAGAAGACCTCCTCATATGGCATTCCTTGGAAATCCTGGAACAGGTAATTGCTATTGGATTGCAAGCCTCAAAATGAATTACTTGTCTTCTAGTGATACTCCATAAAACATGCAGTTTTTACACATCTTATGATGTTTCATAAGTATGTATAACAGGATGATTATTATTCAACAGGCAAGACCATGGTAGCTCGGATTCTTGGGAAATTACTCCATATGGTTGGAATTCTACCTACTGACAAGGTAACAGAAGTGCAACGGACAGATTTGGTTGGTGAATTTGTTGGACACACAGGGCCGAAGACAAGGAGAAAGGTGTTTCCTTGTGCTTTTTGGGTTTTTTTTTTTGGTGCTTTTCCTTGATCAAGGCTAGTCTGCTGTCTCATATGAACTAATTAGCAAGTGATCATGTGCAGATCCAAGAAGCAGAGGGGGGAATTCTTTTTGTTGATGAAGCATATAGATTAATACCTATGCAAAAAGCAGATGATAAGGACTATGGATTGGAGGCCTTGGAAGAGATCATGTCTGTAATGGACAGTGGAAAAATTGTTGTCATATTTGCTGGGTATAGTGAACCAATGAAGCGTGTAATTGCTTCTAATGAAGGGTTCTGCAGAAGAGTGACAAAATTTTTTCATTTCAGTGACTTCAATTCTGAAGAACTAGCAATGATTCTCCATATCAAGATGAATAATCAAACAGAGGAGAGTTTGTTATATGGATTTAAGTTGCATAGTTCTTGCAGTTTAGATGCAATAGCAAGATTAATAGAGAGAGAAACAACAGAGAAGCAGCGTAAGGAGATGAATGGAGGTTTAGTTGATCCAATGCTAGTTAATGCTAGGGAGAACCTAGATCTCAGGCTCAATTTTGACTGTATAGATGCAGATGAACTGTGTACCATAACCTTAGAAGATCTCGAAGCAGGCATCCGGCTTTTATCACAGTGATACAGGGTTTCAAATGAAGCTGAGAAGCAAACTATGTTCTTTTATCATTCTCTAGTGACCTCGATGGGACATCAAATCACACTAGAGGCTTTATTCATTTTATTCCTTTGAGGATGGTTGCAGGTGCTGCTGAAAACTCAGAAGCTGGTGGGTGGGCTTATATATTAGGGAGCTTATTCTTGTACAATTTTAATTTTCCTACTATTTCATTCCTTTGTTGCAACAATTGATTAACTCTCAGATATCTATTCTTCCCTTAAAGGGCATTATTTCTGGGTCATGTTATAGGAGTATTCATTTGTTTTACGGCAATAAAATCTTTATTCCAGCATCTCTGGATGAATGCTTGGGTTGTTTTTAACGAACTTTCTATACCTGTTGTCTTCATATTTTGTTTACCTTTGACCGACGGAGAATATGTTTTCCCTTCAGAAATTGAGTGAGAATTGAATATATATATATATATATATATATAGAATACTATTAAGGAAAAATACAAGGGCAAAAACGTACCTTGTGTGCTGTTTGTAGCACTGTCGTTTTCACATCAGATGCATGGCTTTGTATTGGCAAGTTAATCAGGTTATGTTCCTTGCCATTGTCCCAACAATTGCGATTGACCAGTTTCACTTTCTTTCAGGAAACTAGGACTTTGCCTTAACGTGCAAAATGCCACAACAACAAAAAACGAAGAAGATATTTAAAAATAAAAAACTATGAACCAGGTTATATAGTGAGGAAAAGAAAAAGCCCAATCCTTCTCGTTCTCTCTCTGGCAACCATGGTTTCGAGCTCTCTTTCACTTATCTCTTCCACATCTTCATTTCCTTCGTGCTCTAACCCTGATTCATCTTCCACGTCTACTTCTCCTCTGCCTATCTCAATTAAGCTCTCCAAGCCCAGTACCAGATTCTCAAAAACCCACAAATACCCGTCGTTGAAGCTTTTGAGTTGTTCCTCTAACGAGTCCGTTGAAGATGGGTCCGCGGAGCAGTTTTTCAAGAACAATTCGATAGCGGATTTCATGAGATTCAAGAGAGGGAGTCACAGAGGCAGCGGCGAGTTGCAGACTGCTGTTGTCAGCTATCGTAAGAGGTTTCCTTGGTCTATTCTTTACCCTTTTCTTCGGGTACAAATACAATCGCTCGAGCTCCGGTTCTAATTCTGATTAACCTTATAAAGAAGTAGTGTCTTTCTCTTGCTGGATTCTAATTGTGGGATTTTCTTTGCTTTCTTGATGGGTCAGGTTGATTTGGTCTCAACGATTCATATCGCGGATAAAGAGTATGTTTGTCTACTTCAAAATATACTTAATGAAATTACCAGTAATCTTATATTTTGTTTCTGTCTTGATTATGCATTATGGATGGAGGGTTGTGCTTAGTTATCTGGTTTTCAACTGACTTCCTTTTCCCAAAGGAGTGTAATATCCTAATCTAAAGACGATTAAACTTGAATGCATTGTTTAAAAAGGGGAAGTAGAAAAGTGGATGAAAATATCTGGTTGATTATAAGTTATGGAGTGAAAATGAATGAAGTTGAGTGTCTTAGGATAGTGAGTCTCTGGCTTTGTATGAATGCACTTGAGCAGCGATGAAGCAAGAGGTTTTAGTTGGCTCTCTATCAAAACTATTCTACGGTTCGGATATTTAAAAAAAATTTAAACCGAACCGCCCTATTCAGTTTTTTAGTTAAAAGAGTTTGCATTTGACAGTGAATGACAAAATTTTAAAATCTTTTTGTTTTGAAGAATGCAATTCATGTGAGGAGAAGCAATAAATCACCATTAAATAATAATTTACAAATTTGCAAGTGCAGCCTTTTGGAGTTTTCAAGGAAAGAATTTACCTTTCTTTGACCTTTTATGAAGATTTATTTTTCAGTATTCATGTACTATTTAGATAATTAGTGTCACATGAGGTTCGGCTCAAGTTTATGTGCTTTTTCCCATATTCAAATCTGAAACTGAACCACACACCTCGGTCAGTTATTTTTAAAAACTACAACCGAATCTATTATATAAAAATCCAAACTGAATACATCAGTTTGATTGAGTTTTTGATTTTGTTTGCTCTGCCCTAGTGGATGGTTATTAGTGAGAATAATGTTAAAAAATAATTATAGAAAGGTAGGACTCTGACACTGCTTATATCTTGCTATAAGAATATGCTGTATGGAAAGGCATGGAAAGGTGATTGTATTGACTAATGAAGCCTGCTGATGAAAAACTGAGTTTTGGTCTGGCCTGCCTGTATAAAGAACAACAAGAATATGGTAAAGATACATATATTTTTTTTTCTTAATATTTCTCCTGGAAACCTTCATAGGAGTATGATGGATTGAGTTTGTGCACTCTATGACAATTTCCTTATGGACGTGTGGCTACAGAATCTAGTTGCTTGTAACAACTTCTTTATTTCTGCTTGAGTGAATTTTCTGTTAAAATGCTTGAGTTACGAATCTTGTCTGTAGATACTTTGAAACCCTTCAGAAGGAACTTGCACCATATGATTGTGTTCTTTATGAGATGGTGGCCAGCAGGGAGAGTTTAGAAAATAGAAGAAACCCTGCAGCAGCAAAAAGGCTCAAAAGTTCACGTTCCCGAGGTTTCAACATTCTGGGTTGCATTCAGCGGCAGATGGCTCGGATACTTAACCTTGATTTCCAATTGGATTGCCTTGATTACCAAGCTGATAATTGGTACCATGCAGATCTTGACTATGAGACCTTCAAGTTACTTCAGGTTAGATAAAAGTGATTGAATGTTTTTTATCATCTGAATTCTGAGGTCAATTTTGTAGTCAACAATAACGTATTGCTTCTACATCTAATGTTCTTAATTGTATTTTTTCCAGCTTGAGAAAGGTGAAAGCTTCTTCACATTTGCTCGGGATATGACCCTTAAATCAACAAAAGCTTTAGTGCAGCCTGCTTCAATCCCAGATGACCTTGATCCTTGGAGATCCAAGCTGCTGTGGGCTTCACGTGTGCTACCTATGCCACTTGTTGGCCTTCTCATTATTGGTGGTGTTTGTGCGGATGTGGGAAGTCAGGCATCTGATTATCCAGAGCTAGAAGCTTTATCAATGCTTGACTTCGGTGCCGCTATGAAGGTTTTCCTGGCAAAGCGAATAACTTCTGAGTAAGTTTTGGCAAAAAAATTATACTTTTTTATTAAATGGGTTTTTCATTTGCTTCAAGATGTGATGATAAATGATATCTTGATTTATGAGAAAACTTATTTTCCGGATTTTGGAGTTTCGTACATTTTAGATGCTAGTAGCTATGGTATTTTTAATTGGGCTAGAAAAAGAGGCAGAGGGTAGTTTTTGCATTTGAACATGAGTTCCTACGTATCAATTTGACTAGAATTGTTGACAAGAGAATGATGCAAAAATACAATTTTGTGAAGGTTCACACAAGTGACAGCTGATGTGGAAGAGAGATCTGTTATTATCGGCGAGAGGAACAGAGCTGCTATAGAAGTACTTAGGAGAGCTATTGACGATGGTCACATTAAGATAGCTATACTGTATGGGGGTGGCCATATGCCAGACCTGGGGAGGCGCTTAAGAGAGGAATTTGACCTGGTTCCTTCCCAGGTACAGTGGGTAACAGCCTGGTCAATTACAAAACGAGATCTTGAGAGCAGCTCCCTTCCGTTTTTGAAGACAATGGCTGAGGTTTCTGGCTGGCCATTGAACCGATACCAGACATTGGCATTGCTTATTTTCTCTTCAGTCCTTGCATTGGATCTCTGGTTTTGGGAACTCTTTTGTAGCACTGCAGTTAACTGGATCTCAGAAGTAGTTTCAGAAGTTGCTCAATATATAGATAATGCACAGGTGATGTGAGTCTTTGTTTGATAAATTGTTTCGATCAACATTCAACACGGATAATGGCAACGTGTTTGTGCCTGTGTAAATATGAACACTTATTTTACAGATATAGCTGATCTGAAAATTGTAGAAAATGAACTTTGTGAATTCATTCATAGAGGAAAAATAAACTAATTGATTAATAGGTGCCCTCCACTTGGGGGCATCTTCTCTTTGTTACTAGTTCTGTACTACATGCTTGAATTCATCTTCCAAATTTACTTCTTGTTGGGTTAAATATTGATTTTGAAAATGTGCTTTCCTGGTGTCCCTCATAGACCAAATGGAATAAGCACCAAAAGTAGCATTTGGCTACGAGAGAAAGCCAGCCAAGGCGACACCTGACATTTCTTGGCGGTTGCCGAAAACGGTAAGCTGACACTTGATATTGAGGTGTCATGCCAAGGCGTAAACACGTCTTCCCTGATTCACTAAAGACAATAATCAAAAGCTTTCTTACTTAGGAATTTGAAACACAAATTCATAGGCACCAATTCACTCTCCCTTTTGTTGCTTGTTTAAACCAAAAAAGGAGTGTCATGTGTGAGTTAATTAAGATTCCTTGTGGTTCATAAGCGAGCAAAAGTTTCAAGAAAGAGCACTGATTTCTCACCTCAGCTTCTCTTACAGTCGATAACTGGAAAGATTCCCTTATTTTACGTTGTTCTTTTCACAAAACATGTTCCTTGTTTCTTTGACATTTACCAACAATCTTCGGGCAAAGGCTTCTCTTTAAAAGCTTGTCAAATTTCATGTATACAAAACTCTTCTACTTTTTGCTGCCAACAAAGCTACTTCACTTTGTTAACAGGTTTGTGTATTGTAAGCATGCAGCATTGACTAAATTTATAGTTTTAATTTTTTTTTTTGTCTTACTTACATTAAGTTTAAATTTTATTTTTTTTTGAGTTTTCGTATTACAAAAATGGGTAGCTTTGAAAGATAAGTAATGCTTTTAAAGTCTTAGAGAGAATATCTTGTAATTCTGTGTGTTGGAACTACGGTGGATGTGGGCAAGTATGTTTATGAGAATACCGAGAGAGTGTAGTATAAAAGATCTTTGAATTGGATGAGAAATCAGTAAGAGAAATTTTATTGTATTTCAATTTTTCAATAATAAATGAACTGTTTCACCTGTAAATGTAGACAAGTAATTGAACCAAGTAAAATTCTTGTGTTTTTACTTGGGATTTATCTTTATTGTGTCTTGTTCAATTTTCACGACGGTAATTTTAGCTCCAAGCCATATCAATGCACTTTCTCCATAACTAGCAACTTGTACATCAATGGAGCTGTTACTGTCGCAAATCATTCAATGTCTGGAATGATCATTCACTGGCTCTTAGGAATGCCAGTTTTCTCACTAGAAAGCAAAACATCTCCTTTTGCGTCTGTACTTAAAATGGTATTTCACAACACAACACCCTGAGCTGTCGTCAGGAATTTTTTTAATTATCCCAATGGCTTTTTCCTCTTTTATAGAACCTACAATTTTGTGCAAGCGACAGGGAGGATAAGTTTCAGGACCAAAAGCAGTAAAAATATAAATATATGCCTCATCATGGCAACTCTCTTCCATCTTACCAGTCTCTGCATTCCTTAGATCACCAATATCTTGTCTATCTCTTCTCAGTTTACCTTCTTGCGTGATTGAATTTTTCTCACAAAGAGGATTGAGGGGGGGTTTTGGCAAGCAAAATTTCAGAATCTGAAAATCCCTGTGAGGAGGTTTGCATTTTTACGCAGTCCATCTAATTCTTTGATGGTATGGTTTCTTATTTTCTCGATTGCTTCTGATTGCCTTGATGTTTTATCCGGTCTCTGACTCTCAGTCCTTTTTGATCGTTTTATCTTATCTGCCTGGTGGATGGTGTTGCTAGCTTAAATTTGTCCATTGCTTGCCAGACTCTACATTGTTGATATTGTGATTGGAACAAATTCATAACAGTCTAAACACGATGTAAAGCTGTTTATGTTTCTCTTATAATTAAGCATGTTTAGGTCTTTACTTAATCTAACTTTAAAACAACATTTATAACCAGCAAGAAAAAATAGAAGGTGGTCCATGAGAGTCTCGATTTCCCTTTTGTTGTTGAAACCACGAGTTTCATTTTGTTTCTGCTTCGAATACATATGTTTAAGGTTGTCAAAGTTATTGCTCTACTTTTTTAGGTAGCAAAACTTAGAATCCTTTTCAAATTTGGGCTATAAGTTGATCGCACTAGCTATATGTTCTGATATGAAAGATCAAACTATTTTCCAAGCCATAATCATAATTGGAAAAGAAAAAATCAACAAAAGAACAAAAGTACTCACTATGGATGATGATTCCTGTTTTCATTGCAGCGATTGGTTTCTACTGAGCCCACCTTCTGAAATATATATAAGAGGGAAATATTCCTTCTGAGATTTGTGTTCACATTGGCTTAGTGTCAATTTGTCGCTACTCATTCTCTTGGGAAATGGGGATATGCAAGTATTAACAAAGTTTCCACTCTGCTACTTGAAAAGCTTGCCGGTTCCTGCCTTCCTAGGATTCTGACTCAAGGGCAGCATTTTGAAGACATCAGAATCTCTGAGGTTTAGATACCCCACTTCCCTCCTTCATTTTAATATAGTTGTAACACGAACCAAAATTCCGGCAAGCAAGCATGCCGGCAACATTTTGGGTCCATTGTTTTACAAATATATACTAATTGCAGAAGCTTATCTGTTCCTCGTTGAGTCATGCCACGTTCAAAATGAGTATAAGACAATTCCGGAAGATTACTACCAAAAGCAATGAGGTCAGCTAAATCAAATTTGACAAGTATCTGATCCTAATTGCTTTGATAATATCTAATCCTATATATTGCTTATTCATTGAAACATAATAGATCTATTTGCTAGTAATTAACAACTACAAAGTCTTAACATCATAAGGTTGGAAGGAGCTGTGGTTGAAAGGCCTTTTGCCTACTCAAATCAGATAGAAAAAGTTGACTCCCCATAAGCAATATCACATGTGGAATCGTACCTATTGATATTCTGGCTAGCATTCGATGATTACACCCCATTCGATGATTACACCCCACCACATCCTCAAATCTTCAAATCCAGCTCAGCAGAAGAGCCACATCGTTTTCATGATGCTGTTATGACTTTGTTTTTATTTAAGTAAAGAGGCTAAAGACAAGCAGACATGTTATTGTTCGGTAGTTCATTAATTTGTTGTTGGATAGTCACTACAATATCTGTTTTTTAATACTTGCATAGCAGGAGTCGCGTGCCTGGCTCAGGCCACTAGGAGAAAAAGTAGCTTTGACAAAAGCACTTTCTGCCCTTCTACTCAACTATAAATATGCGCTGGTGTGATAAATATTTAAACTGTTTTGAAGTAGGATGGTATGGATGTAAACCGGGTTGAGGTTCAGCAGTAAGCACCAGTCTTAAATGTTCCAGGTTTATGTTTCAGCCTTCTGACAATTAATTCTCCAGTCATGCAACTCAGTTCTTCTCAGGAACTGGACAAACAACATCACTATCATCTTCTTCGGGATTCTGATCTGCAAAATGAGAGAACTGGAAGAAAGTGGCAGAAAGAGGTCCCTAAATCTGAAACCCCAAAAAACAAGTTACAACCAGATGTCGGTGGTCGTAGGCGGGGCCGTTTCAACAAATATGCTCTTGCGGGTGCTATTCTTGCCTCCACAAATTCAATTCTACTTGGCTATGGTGAGCGATTTTGAATTAGTTAAATTGAAATATTAAATATATGCGCCAGGTCTTACTTCTGAGTTTTAATCTCCGCGCACAAGAAAAGCTAGGTAAAATCGAGTACTAATCTAGCAAAGTTTCTGGTTATATTTTGGGCAAATTTTGTTGCTTGCAGATATTGGGGTGATGAGTGGAGCAGCGCTATATATCAGGGACAATCTCAAGATCAATTCAACCCAAGTAGAGATCTTGGTGGGTAGCTTGAATGTATGTTCTTTAATTGGCTCACTTGCCTCAGGAAAAACTTCTGACTGTCTTGGCAGGCGTTATACAATAGTCTTGGCAGCAGCCACGTTTCTGATAGGAGCATTTTTAATGGGACTAGCACCATCTTTCTCTTTCCTCATGGCTGGAAGAGTTGTAGCTGGAATTGGTGTTGGCTACTCTCTTATGATCGGTCCAGTCTACACTGCAGAGATCTCTCCAGCCATGACTCGGGGCTTTCTCTCTTCACTCCCTGAAGTCTTCATTAATGTTGGAATTCTACTTGGTTACATCTCCAACTATGCATTGTCTAGTCTTCCAGAGCACATAAATTGGAGACTAATGCTAGGACTAGCAGCCCTGCCAGCCTTTGCTGTTGCACTAGGAGTCATCGTGATGCCAGAGTCCCCTCGCTGGCTTGTCATGAAAGGCCGATTGGTGGAAGCGAAGCGAGTTTTAATCAAAACATCAGATTCTGAAGCGGAAGCTGATATAAGACTCGCTGAAATGGCAAAGGCTGCTGCAACTTTAGAACAAGAACCATCTTCAAGTAGCTGGCATGGCCAAGGGGTTTGGAAGGAGTTGCTACTGAGGCCCTCTAGGCCTATTCGACGAATTCTCATTGCTGCCATTGGTGTTAACTTCTTTATGCAAGCTTCTGGCAACGATGCCGTTATATATTACAGCCCCGAAGTGTTCAAGGACGCTGGAATTCACGGTAGGAAACAGCAAGTCGGTGTTACAGTCATCATGGGAATTGCCAAAACATGTTTCGTTTTCATATCTGCTCTTTTCTTGGACCACTTTGGAAGGCGGCCCCTCTTGTTGTGGGGCTCAACAGGGATGGCTATTTCATTAGTTGGGCTAGGACTTGGCTCCAAGTACCTTCAGCAATGCTATGACAAGCCAGCATGGGCCATCGCCTTGTGTGTAGTGGCTGTGTGCGCTGATGTTTCCTTCTTTTCGATTGGACTCGGACCAATCACGTGGGTCTACTCTTCAGAGATTTTTCCAATGAGGTTACGAGCCCAGGGTTCAAGCCTGGCAATATCAATCAACCGGGTGGTTAGCGGGATTGTGTCCATGACATTTCTAAGCATTTCAGAAAAGATTACATTCGGGGGAATGTTTTTTGCACTTTCAGGAATCATGGCGGTGGGTACAGTTTTCTTTTACTTCTTTCTGCCTGAAACCAAAGGCAAGAGCTTAGAAGAGATTGAGATTCTTTTTGAGGATAAACCTCTTGATGGAAACAATAAAGGTCTAGCTTCCTAATACAGAGGTGCTTTGCCCACAAATTGAAATATGATCTGTAAACATCTTTGTTTAAAGCTGGGTGCATGGTGTTGGTGGAGCTTTAAGGAAAAAACTCCAAGCATTTAGAACAGACAAAGATATGGCTTTCTGGGAAAAAGTCAGTGAGATGATACAGGTAAAATGTCACAATTCGATTAAGCTTTTCGAGTCTAGAAGTGTGGACTTACACATTGATACACAATTGGAAAAGATTTGGAATTTTTTTTTGGCACGTGAAGAAAATCAAAGGTTGTCGCCAAATTCCTTGGTACTTCACTTAGTCGAAATACATGGGGATTGTGTAGTATATATTTTAAATATATGATCAGACTTAAGCATATATCCTATGCTTTGTATTTTTTTTTTTAACTTGTTTGGTTTGTCAGGCTGACAGCTAATTTAATTATGAAATATATGTATGTATAATAAATACATGTATATATATATATATACTAATAGTACTTATTAAACACGATAAATATAGCAAAAACTTATATTTTTCGTAGTAAATATTTTGAAAAACTCATTAGTGGTCATATAAAAAGGACAAATTATTCTTTTTATTCATGGAAAGAAATGCTTAATTCTGCACTTGGAGACACATGGCTTGATCTTCTTAACCACAGACTTGACAAATTTTCCCAAATAATGCTTTACAGCATCTGTAAGCTGAAATGGTTTGCCCAAGCCATGGTGTGATTGATAATTGTAAACTTCCAAAACTAAATTTCAGGTCTACTTGAAGGCCACCAGCTAGCCAGTGGTAATCCCATTTTCCTTTTTCTAGTATAAAAGAAGAGTGCTGTGATCATCTAATTGTGGGCTTTATTCATCTTTAATAGTAAGATAATCCACATTTTTATTTAGTTAATGGTTTTGAAGTCCCCTGGAACAAGTGTGTAGGCCTCCAATTGCCCCTTGATACGTGAAAAGGGCTTTTACTTGATCACTATCAAATAGATAGAATTTTCCATAAAAGAGGAAGTGTTTTCATTTTTAGAAGGACAAAGAAGAGAGTGCCAGCTCATGACCGAAGGGTATCTCCACTGCCAAGTGAGAACGTGTTCTTCATTCCTAGCATAATGCCTAGCTATGCATTTCACGCAGTTTGAGTTCCATTTGAGATCCAAACAAACTCCATGGATACTACTTCAACTAACCCCTCCTTTCAGCCTCGCCAAACTTATCTTCTTCCAAAAGTACCTGAGGAAAAAGAAACATAGAAGTGGAAGGAAAAGCATAAATTAGCTGCAGAGGAAGCTGAAATGGACGCCAATGAAATGGAATCCCAACAACACAGGGCGGCAGGTGATGATGACTTTGGCCGTGTAAACACTGGTCTAAACAAGTACACTATTTTTTGTGCTCTTTTGGCCTCTACGAACTCTATTCTCTTAGGCTATGGTGAGTCCGCTTTCAGTTGTCTCTTTTCTATTCCTTTTTTTTTCCTCCAAAAATTGTCAAGAATCCATGTAGAGACTAGAGATTAATTAAATGCGTTTTAATTAGTAATCAGAACCCAAAAAAAAAAAATTCATGCTTGTTTGTTGTTTGTGGCATGCCTTCAAGCCAAACCCCTTCTTCTCCATCAATGGTACTTTTGGGTGAACTGTTGTGTATACCTTTTGCAGATATTGGTGTCATGAGTGGGGCAGTGCTTTTTATCAAAGAAAACCTCAAAATCTCATCAGTTCAAGTAGAAATCTTGGTTGGTAGCCTGAATGTACTTTCACTCATGGGCTCACTTGCCTCTGGCAAAACCTCAGATTACATAGGCAGACGTTACACAATTGTCCTAGCAGCAGCCACATTCCTGGTAGGTGCACTTCTAATGGGGTTTGCACCCTCTTTCTCATTGCTCCTAGCAGGCCGCATAGTTGCTGGCATTGGCGTAGGCTATTCCCTCATGATTTCTCCTGTATACACAGCTGAAATCTCCCCTGCTATGAAACGGGGGTTCCTCACTTCCCTCCCTGAAGTATTCATCGTCTCTGGAATCCTCCTAGGCTACATCGTTAACTATTCTCTATCAGGTTTGCCCCAAAACATAAATTGGAGACTGATGCTTGGCTTTGCAGCAATACCAGCTATTGCCATTGGATTCGGTGTTACAGCAATGCCAGAATCACCTCGTTGGCTTGTCATGAAAGGGAGAACAGATGAAGCAAAAGGGGTTTTGGTCAAAGTCTCGGATAGTTGTCAAGAAGCTGAATTTAGGCTGAATGAAATAACCAAAGCTGCTGCTCTGGATATAGGCCAATCAGCTTCTTCAAGCAACAATGAATGGCGTGGCCAATGGGTATGGAGAGAACTTCTATTGAGCCCATCAAGACCCGTCCGTCGGATTCTTGTTGCAGCCATTGGGATTAACTTTTTTATGCAAGCTTCTGGCAATGATGCTGTCATATACTACTGCCCCGAAGTGTTCAAGGATGCTGGCATTCACAATAAGCGACAGCTTTTCGGTGTCAATGTGATCATAGGAGTAGCCAAGGCTTCTTTTGTGTTGATTTCGGCTCTTTATTTGGACAAGTTTGGGAGACGACCTCTTTTGTTGCTAGGCTCAATTGGGATGGCGGTGTCCTTGGCTGTGTTGGGCATGGGTTCCAAATTTCTCGAACACTCAGAAAGCAAACCTTTGTGGGCTATTATTGTGTGCATCGTGGCTGTCTGCGCTGACGTTTCGTTCTTCTCAATTGGGCTTGGTCCAATCACATGGGTTTATTCATCAGAAATATTTCCTTTGAGGCTACGGGCCCAGGGCACAGGCCTGGCTATCTCAGTGAACAGGCTGGTGAGTGGGGTGCTGTCCATGACATTTCTGACAATATCCAACAAGATAACATTCGGAGGAATGTTTCTTGTGCTTTCCGGAGTAATGGTGGTGGGCACATTGTTCTTTTATTTCTTTCTTCCAGAGACCAAAAGCAAGAGTCTAGAAGAGGTATGGGCACTATTTGAGGACAAAGATAAAAATGATGATGGTGAAATGGGGGGAGTGCAAATGAGAGAAATTTGATGCTGTTATGCTACTATTAGTTAGCCACGGTTAAAAGGATTGTACTTAAAACTAGTGTTTCGTACCTGCATTGACCTAATGGTTAATAGCTATAACTTTTCAAGACCTTTTCCACATGTAGAACAGGCGAAAAGGATCAATCAACTATAGTTGCAATCTTGCTTAAACTCCTTTTTTCCTTCTCGAAAGTACTTTCTACTTGATGCCCAGATCCAGAAAATATTACATCTTCCTTCCTAATTCAGTAATGTGCACAAAAAGAATGAATTAATTTTACAAAAATAACATATCAATTATACCAAGGAGAAAAGTTTATATTTTCTTAAAATTTGTGAGATGTTATAATTATATTTAATTTGCCCTTAAAAGGGTTCATTCTTTTTGTATTTGATCCTTCAATTTATCCAATACTTTAAATCTCTTTTATCTTTAGATTTATATTGACATAATACAAAAAAAAACTTTTAAACTATTTAAAAATTTAAATAAAATTTTTTTATTACGTTTAATCAGATTTTTGTATTTTTATTTTGAATCAAATAAACACTCATTATTAATTGTTAGCTAATTATTATTAGTTAAATGTCACTTATCACTTTATATCATGTGACGTTATAAAAACATGTCATAAAAAATGATAACATGATCATATAGTATTTTTCACCTTCTACATTAATCTCACGTGAATATAAAATGACAAATGACGTTTCAATAATTTTTTCAAATATTATATCATTTATTTTTCACTAATATACATTTTGACTTGCACATGGCCATGATAGTGTACCATATGCTAATACCTTATCCTGTCTTTGATCCACATCTAAAATAATTCAACTATTGAATTGAAACGACGCTTCATAGATACCACAAGGACTTAAGTTCATATAGATAACTTAATAATGGTCTTATATCCTCAGGGTATATACTTGGACGACTAGAAGTGTCTATAAAGCAAACTCAATGGGATATGTATCTAACAATGCTAAAATCATGGATTTATGACTTGGAATTCGAAGCCAAGATTAATTATTCATGACACAAGTTTAAAGGATGCATGTATTGACGAAGAAAAGGGCTAACTCACAACCTTGGCTTGTGTTTTTGGTCTAACGCTCTTGTCCTGTAGTGGAGGACCTATACTCTATAATCAAAATTAAAGAAAAAAAAATTAATTACTAGGATTTGTTTTCTTGACAGTCAATGAAATTAATAAAAGACTTGATTCTGCTAATCCAATAATGAGGTCATGAATGTTGCAGCAGTAAGCTGCTTAATAGAGCCAAATGTAAAAAAGACAACCGCACATGAAAATTTTTGACATAAACCCTCAAAATTATGTTGCAAAAGTCATAACCCACATGGCAAATGCTATTGCAACCAATCCCTACTGGTGAAGCCCCCGATATGAAAATCCCATTTGATTTGAAATTTTCAGAGCTTTCGTAATGATGACCTTAGGGGTTTCAAAAGCTAGCAAAAACAAAAAAAAATGTGGGTCAGAAAAGATCTGTGTGAAATACAAAGGGTTTCTACTTGTCACTGAGCTTAACTTCATACTCCAAAAAGCTGAACTCAACCACTCAAAACTGTCTGTTAGCTCTTGGTGTGGCATTTCAAAGGGTAAGAAGTGCACTCTTTGAAATGTATTTTTCTTGTTTGGAAGCTTCCTAGACGGTGAGATACTCTTTGACAGCTAGTCTTGAAGGGTACTGAGAGAGGCCTTGACATTGTGTTTGTGTGTTCGTTTAAGACCCTTATTTTTGGGAAATGGAGATTGCATAGTCTTATAAGAGTACTTTCTAAGACTCAACTTCTTGGTGTAGCCAAAGCCTTAGACCTGTTTATTTGTCCTCTATCGTACAAGTTTAGGCCAGACGCTAGCATATCGACAAAGCTTCTGTATAAAAATCTAATATATAGTTTGAAATATGGAAAGGTTGAGAAAATATATTAAAAATTTTCTTCCAGTACCAATCATGGAAATGGTGACAATATTACCTTTGTCCTCCACTTTTAATCTTGAGTTTTTTAATTTACTTTTCCAATCTTTCTCTCACACACATAGGCGGAACTACGCGTTCTTGCACTATAAGTTTAATTATATAGAGTAAGAATCGCTAGGTGGAATGATCAGATTTACAGTTAAAAAGAAAGCTCAAATTGAAATCACAGTCACTAATCTATCTACCGACATTGATGACAACATGAAGTTGTTTGCTAGTACTAGGAGTAGGTATTAGGTATGATACACATAAAGATGAATAGCGCGAGTAGGGCCATTGCATGTCCCCCAATTCCCATTCTTGATTCACGTATTAAGTTTTCAGGCATGTTCCCTTTGGTGGTTAACCCGCGAAGGGAGCCCCCATTGGCCATTGCTGGGGAATAAAAAGGGAGTCCTTATGCCACCAACCCTACCCCCATTTATAAGTCAAAAGATAAAAGCAAAGCATGGCAATGTCACGCTTATTTGTTTTCCATTCGGTGTCCCACGCTGTTCCATATGGATATATAGTATTATGCAAATTTGATGGGAATTTGTAATGCTATATATGCATCTAATTTAACTTCAACTCCTTCCTTTGAGGGTAAAATGTGAATATTTAGTATCTAACAATAATTTTTATTCATAGAATCTTTTTGTGGCACATTTCGAAATTCCGCTGCACCCCAAAAAAGTGATTGTCACAATTATCAGTTGAAGTGGTACCGCATACATTAAAAAGCTACTAATAATGAGCTGAAACTCTTTGTAAGATCAGATATAGGGGGACAGCATTCCTGAATCTAGTGGATATTCCCAGACTTCTCTTTTAAAAAGTCTTTTGAATCCCATGGCCCAAAATCAATACGCAAGAGTTTACTCAATTACCCAATAATGAACAATGGTACTCATACTTCAATAATTGTCTTCTACAAAATCATCTGTTACAGAGAACTTTTCTGTGTCATTATGCTTGGATGCACGCAGTTTGAATTTCAAATACAATCCAAATTTCTCAACAGTTTTGTTTAATTATTTTGGTCCCTACTTTTTCCAAATCTCCCTCAGCAAAATGTGGTTGGTCGGGCATTTACTTGACCATTCTATATCTGGAATTCATTCCCCAAACCAGGATTAACCTGCCCAATTGATTATCCCTTCTCCTAACTTGAAAAATTCCCCATATTTATCTGGACTTATTATCAAGCAGTAATTAAATTTGAAAATGAGTAATTAAACTTTTAGTTGGGGCAATTTCTACTCACATAATTCAAAAATTAAAGCAGATAAGTTGCCGCGTGTGACTTTCAACCTACTTTTCTACACTAATAGTTAATCCAAAAAGAAGTCTTCTCCTTAACGCAAATTTTCCACAATGAGGACAACGAAATGGACGAACAACAGCAAAATGTATTTCACCATACAACTGGTTGAATTTATTATTATTATAAAATCACGTCCACTTAAGGTTTGTCATGTATTTTATTTATATAAGTTCTCTATCTCCATATATACCGCCACCCTCCCTTCAAAAACACACTTTCTCTCTCGCTCTCTCTGGAAATGGAAAATCGATTCAAGCTACGAATCTCTCGCATGTTTCGATCCTCGTTTGGCTCTGCCGGACCCGGACATCTCGGACGTTATCGAAAAAGCCGTTTTCTCGCCTCAAAACCACAACAACTTCCAATTGATTGAGCCATTGTCGCCGTCGTCACCTAAGGCTCGACCATTCCCATCCATTTGTAAACCCAGATGCCCTGAATCCACCCAAGGCGCCATCCCAATCATGATTGTATCATGATCACTCCAAGAGAAACTCTTCCAAGGCGTAAAGTGTCTGCTCGTTACCCTCCTTTTCTTGTCTCCTCGGCTGATTTCAATGGCCGCAAGTGCCCTCCTGCTTCCCCTATATCGCCTTTGAACCCTTTCTCCGAGCGTAAAGACTTTGGTTTCTATGAGAAAAAGAAGAGTTTAACCAGAAACAAGGAGAAGAAAAAGAAAAATAACAGAAGGGTTCATGGGAAAAGCAAGAATGTTATGTCTTCTACTACCACATTTTTCAGCTCATCTTCTCAAGAAAGTGCTAATCATAATTATGGTGGTTGGTGGTTTAGCAGTGAAGATGAAACCGACACTCTTTTCTCTTCACGGACTCTCTCATCGGATTCATCCGAGTCTCCCCGGCAACGTTCTTACCGGAAAAGGAGCAACAGTGCTCGTCGGAGAAGAGCTAAGGGCAGGAGCTGTGACATGGGGGTTTTACCTTTGGAAGGAACCAATAAAGTAAAAGACAGCTTTGCTGTGGTGAAAAGTTCCAGTGATCCGTACAATGATTTCAGGACATCCATGGTGGAGATGATTGTTGAGAGACAGATATTTGCAGCGAAGGATCTCGAGCAACTGTTGCAGTGTTTTCTATCACTGAACTCTCATTACCATCATAAGATTATCCTTGAGGTTTTTACAGAGATTATGGAGACCTTGTTCTCCAATTGGTCTTGATGAAGAAGTAGAAGAAGAAAAACTGTTAACTTCGTTTGTACTTGTCTTTGTTTCTTTCACTTTATGTTCTTAAGAAATTTAGTTTAATCATTAGATCTTAGACTTCTAACTCCGAATTAACGTTGTTAATGGGATAAACCTTCCATATTATCCAAACAGTTTATGTTTTTTTTTTCTTTTCTCTTTTTGCCCTGTCTCTTTGTACTAGCTGGCTGGCTTACACAGCACCGATCAAGTACGTGAGTTTATATTTTATTTTAACAGTGCTTGTTTCGATGAAACCCTAAAGTGGAATTTTGCTCTCAAAGCAGGATCGGCTTTGTTTGTTATAGCGTTTGCTTGCCTTTCTATGGACATATTACTGCAGGGGATAAACTGTTACTGAAAAGACAGGCCAGAAGGGGAGAAGAGAACAGAGGAAGAGCAAGGAAAATTGAGAAAAAATAAAATAAAATTTTTGTGGCAGGCAGTTTCTTTATTCTTTTGAAAAGTCAGGGTTTTGGGTTTGCTCAACCTTTTGAACATAGAAGCGCAGACTCCCTCCTGGATTCGACTTTAAAAAAAACAAATGAAAAAGATGAAACGAATGAGAGATGGTGCAGCTAGCAATCCTTTGATTTGAAAGCAGACACCAAAAAGTTGTGTAAAATCTCAGTCCCGTGTGTTGGACTTTTGTAAAAACTTCTTTTTCAAACCCAAATTGCACCAAAAGAATACAAGTAAGAGGAAAAATCCACTACATGAATGTTTTTTGTTTGTATTGAACAAGATTTTGTTATATATACAATAATAATGGGTCACAAGACCATTGCTTGCCTTTAATTTAGCTCTCTAAAATCTCCATTAAGAAATACCAAACACCAACATCCAAGTCGATGGTTATTTATGGCTTCTACAAAAGTAATTAAATCGGTTGTTCTAAATCTTTCATTTCCTCGTCTAACATTTTTCGCTGAATAAAAAAATCGTACAGTGACAAGTCCATGAGGTTTAAATACGACATATTGCATCCAATATCGGGCCTGTCGCAACTCGGTGAATAGGAAATATGGCATCTTTATATAATTTAATTAAATTTAATTTTTAATATTGTCTTGTACTTTTTGGGATCATAGATCCACATACAAATTTAAAAAAATAAAATATTAAATGGAACCGATTTTTATGAACTAACATTAAAATTATAAGGTGAATGGCTAAAAGATGCTTGCCTCGATCAATCACTATGAACCCTTAATTCCGTCCAGCTTGAGAACAATTTGACCATCACATCTCTTAGCCAAAAGCATGACAATATTTACAATTTTAAATGATCTAAAATTGTGGTTGGCAATGGCATGATGCCTAGAGACAAAATATATATATATATTCAAATTGATGGTTTGAAAATTATGGGTTCACAACAAGAGACAAAACTACTGCCCACTAAATTGAAAGCTACATCTCTAGTTTTGTTGTGTTATAAACTAAATTCGATTTCTTATGCAAATCAAATTTTGTTTCCATTATGTAGATGAAGAAGAAAAGGTTAAACCAACACATCCCACCACCCTAACACATGAAATCAATATTTGGTTTTAGTAGTATAATTAATATCCTTCCATAAGCTTTTTTTAAAGATTTTTCAAACATAAATAGAAAATTTGTCACTACATATGTGAAACCTCCGACAAATGATCACAAGAAAGATCCAGCAGCTCCCAAGTCAAGCAAATTATGATGGGTTATACATAATCTTTTTGGGCTTAATTAATCTTGGGTCTCAAATCCCAAGGAAGAAAAAGGAGTACAGTAGATGAATAAAAAGTTGGGTTCAATGGGTTAATTTGAGGTCTTAAATCAAATTGGAACATCAATATTTCTTCGCTAATGCTTTTCCAGCAAAATGAGTGGGAAAAAGGAAAAGAAATAAGCTAGGGGCTGCTTATAGGTAGGGCAGAGAACCAAGGCAATTGATCGTGCTTCAGAAGTTTTTCCAAGAACAAGGAAACGTCGGTTTCAGAGGATGTGTGTGGCTTAAAGATTAAAAACGACACAATGGAATGAAAAAAAAAATAGGGTGAAAGACAGAAGGTTAGTGGAAGGAAAACCGGTTGAGGTTTCAATAAAGACAAAGAGAGAATGTGAGCCTGCAGGAATCTGTTTTCCACTATTGGATCTGGCTTTTTTTTTTTTGACTCTTTTTTACAGTGGCTGTCCCTTAGGCTTGAAAGCTATGTAACATTGCATAAGAGATAGAAAGAGAGAAGTACTGGAAGGAATTGGTTGCGTAGCTTTCTCTTCTCTTTCTTCTATATATCATGCATTTATGAGCAGCGGGATTCTTGAAAAACAATTATCTAGGACATCCCTGATCCCTCCATAGTATTTAAATTTCTCAACAGATATCGCAGCACAAATTGCCAAAGGCATTTCCTTAAATGGGATTCAAAGTAAAGAATGTCTGGTTTTGGCAGTGGGTTGGTTGCTTGCCTTTTTCCCATTGGTTTAGCAACCTAGCATTCTCATTAATGGTCGCATTTTCTGGGTTCTTGAGCCCCCCATTTCCTCTCTTTCTCTCTCATTTGCAACATGTGATCAACTAAGATGGTTTCTTTTTAAAACTTTTTGAATTCAATTTGATCAGTAGTCATTTGGGCTGGCATGGCTTTTAAGCCCGTACATACCAATGCTTAGCTATAAGCTTTAGGCCTGCCTTTCGATGATGCTGGGACCCATATGGATAAATTGGCTCAGCTCTTTTACCTTATCTGAAGCCCATCCTACGTTTTTAGGCTATATTTCTTTAGCCTCTTGGGTCCTTTCTGTTTTGACATTATATGTGGATGGAATCATTCAAAATCAGACAAAACCATATTGATTTTGTTTTTTGAATATTTGAATGTCAGACTTACATTATATGAATACAATACCAAATTTTGGAATCGATTTAGTGCAAATTCATGCACGTTTGGAAATAAGAACATCTAATTACATGTTATATAAGTAAGAAAAGGGATGTTTTATGTCTCTTTTCTTTTCTAAGACTTGGGGGTCAGCCATGCGAGCTGGCGCCGTGCATGGCCTGGAAGTCTTTGTAAGAGTTGGTGGAAGACTTGGAATTTTGGAGATCAACTGAGAAGAAGAAACCAGAGAGAGGCATGTGGGCAGCTTTAATCAAGATGCAAGAGTCCAAAAACCTTGAGATAACGTGAAGCCTTTGTGAGCGGCGGCTATGTCTCAGTCTCATTCTACTCTGACAGAGACAAAGTTCCAAACCTAAGACTACGTGGCCAACTCCAAGTGGTCAAACAATCTTGAGTGCAACTCAACTGTCTCCATCGACTACACTAGACCTCTAATCCGCCCAGTTAAATAGCCGCTCCCTAGTCGCCATCACCCCTTTCACTTTTCTGCAGAATCGAGCCGCCAAGTAAGTTATTCAAGTGCCAAACTCCTTATTAACCTTTGTAGCTTGACAGTAAGAAAGATCTTAACGGTAATATACGGTGTCCTGAGCTAACCCATACATTCGGTTAGGGTGTGCATCTAAAATAGTCAGACTTGGAGGATTGTCCTATATATTCTTGCAATAGCTTTTGTAATAGTTTTATGGAATTTTGATGTGCCTGCACATCTAACAGGCCTGACAGACTTGAAATAAGTTCTAAGTGGCAAGTTTAGCTTGAATGAGCCTAATCCTAGCACAAAGCTTTAAGTTTGGGCCTGGTTAAATAGCTAACTACTAGCTAGTTTAGTTTCTTGTTTGTAATATCCCAATCATGAAATATTATTTCTGTATGTGCTAATTTACAAAGGATTTACATTCTAACGTTTCAATTTAATAGAAAATTTTGTATATGCTACAATTTCTTCAAAAACTTCACGTAATTTATTTTGTTTAAATTTTAATCTCATTCTAACTCTTTTTGTAAATATATAATTTGAGCATATTACAAGGAACTAGAGAGGGACTGAATATTGAATTTTGATGCTTTGTTGGAAAGATTACTATAATTAGGCGCCAAGTTTGTTGCTTTGAAATTCTTAGAGGTAGTGTTTGATTATTTGTGAGTTAGACGTATGTAAAGATTTAGGACTCTTTCCAAAGGAAGGTAACGTGTCAATAGAAAATTTAATTCTTGGAAGATATGTATAGTAACATAAAAAAGGTGAAATGTTTGTGTCCCAAGGCCGACTGTCGAAGTGTCAACCACAAATCATATCTGTTTGGTACACCATTCATTCAATAGGGTAGGTATCATTCTTTCCCTCTGTTACCCTGTCTTCTTTTTTTTTTCTTGTGTTTTTCTGCGTGGAAGTATAGGGTAGGTGCCCTTAATTTTGTCCCCTTCAAGGTTGTAATCTCTTGGTGTAGTGCTTGACAAATGTATAACATTCTCCCAATTCCCGCCCAAAACCTGAAACTTTTTAGATTCTCATATCCAAAACAGGCCTTATGTACTCTCTGCTTCCCTATCCAAAGTCCAAGACAAATCTCCCTAACAAGCAGGCTCAAGTTGTGAACTGGATATATATAAATCATTAATTCAAAAAAATCCAATATTTGATGGCTATTGTTGAGTCAAATTTGTCAGCTATCCCGCATTATACTACATGTCTTGCCTATTTATTGCATGTGTTGCCACCTTTTAAGAGGAAGTAGTAGCAATAATTTTTTTAAGGTTCCTTATCATCAATTCCCCATTTACCATTCATCCTTTGTACTTAAAATGGAAACCCAAATTTTCTATTACTCCCATCCCATATCACTTATCTATAATACTCTTGTTTTCCCCTTTTTGGTTAAAATTTAAGGGGAATGTCAGCATACATGCATGTACAATACAACTGGTTATAATATTTAGCATACGTTAGAGCAAACATGAATTAATTTGTGTACACGTATATATGTATTGAGGGGGCGTATATATGCATATGTTTCTGATGTAACAATATTTGAATTTCCTAAAGACAAAATAAATAAAGAAAGACAAATTTTTTGATGTATTCTTTTTGTAGTTATTTGTGCAGCAAAAAGGCTATGCCGATAAAAGCTGGAAAAGGTTGAAATATATAGACAAAACTGCAACACTGCAATACAACTTTTTTTTTTTTGGTGATTTATGCAGGAAATAGAGTTTTACAGAGGAAATTGGTGGAAGTCCAGCTGGCTCCGCGATTCACGGGTTGGGTTTTAGAGTATGAGCCTTCGTTCTCTGCAATTTCCACTGCATCACTCCAAAGTCTAAATGATACAGATGACTCAATCAAATCAGAAGCTCGTTGAACAAATCAATCAATCGAAACACCCAAATGATTAGAAGTGGCAGACCAAAATTTGATAGTAAAGCAGAATCCTTCCCTGCAGACTAAAGTCTTCAAACCCTTTTTTATCTTGTTCTGACAATGTCGGTCACAATATGACGCAATTGTTCTTAGGTTTGCATTAGTTTATTATAACTCATGTAATTATTACTATTAGCGAATCGTGAATACAGTTGCATGTATATATCGTATGTGGGGAAACTACGTCCAAATTAATCAATCAAAATTAGCTAAGGCGAGAGGTCCAATTCAACAACCAGGACCGCTCCTCTCTTTCTCCTAAAGAGGCTACACACCAACTCCACCATCAAAAGTAAAAGTGACGAAACAATCTTTGAAAATTATTAATTATTATTATAACAACGAAGAAGAAGCCATCAGGAATTAATTTAAGCTTCCATAAGAACTTTTGATATGTCTGATGATGAGCTACGCCTAGTGGGGACTCTTTTGGTGAGCAAAGTGCAAAACACAAAGACAAGAAAGGAGCGTGTCAAGACAAAGAGTAAAAAAAGAAGACAATTAAAGTGGAGCCCCAAAGGAGAGAAAGGGCCTTTCTCTTTTTCTATTGTTTGAAGCTTAACAACCTTGAATTGAATTGAATTGAATGGTGGCTCCTTCTCTTCTTCTCTTATTTGTATAAAGAAATCTTCACCGATCATCACCGCTATCACCAAAGAAAAGAAGATAGCGAAACAAATAATTCCCCTTTGAATGTCTTTGTTGCAGCTTGTAAAGAAGAAAACAACAAAATCTACACTACTTGCTCACCTGATCATCAAAGTGAAAAAGAGTAGTCAGTGCCAATGCTGCTTAGAAATTCCATTTCCAACACCAAAAAGTTCTTTCAAAAAACCTTACAAAGTTTCAGGTCTTTATTCTCTGGTGGTGGTGGTAGTGTGGATTACCAAAAGCTACCCAAAGCCTCTCCTTACAATCCCTCTTCTTTCAGTACTACTGCCGGCCTTGACATGAATGGCCCAACCAGTTACCAGCAAGACCTTGAAAAGTTCTACACTGACTTCACTGACCGATGGGAATCGGATAAAGGCAAGGAAAAGAAGAGAAACAAGAAGAAGATAGTGTCAACTCCAACAGAACAACCAAAAGAAGGGGACAAAGGAGGTTTCACGCAGTTTACAAGGACGAGTCCGACGAAGAAGAATACAACACAAACAAGAGAGGATAATGATGATCAGTCGACCACAACGAGGAGTGCCAAGGTGGAGAAAAGGCTAGAAGATACATATATGAAGAGTAAGAGAGAAGCAAGGAGTTTGTCAGTGGCACAAAAGCTGAAAGGGCTAGAGATGATGGATAGGAGCAATATGGATCATGTTCTAGACATTGAAGAGGTTCTTCATTACTATTCTCGCCTGACATGCCCTGCCTACCTGGACATTGTGGACAAGTTTTTCATGGACATATGCACAGAATTCTCGGGACCGGCTGCTTCTCCGAAAAGTGTCAATTCAAGATCAAAATTTCGATCAGTGAGAGCCTGATCAACCTTTTGCTTTTTTTTTTTTTTAACTTCTTTTTGCTTCTCTGGTTAGAGAATTTGGGACAGGTTAAGAATCGAAATTGTCATGATGACTTCTGTTACTTTATTTTTTCCCCTCTTTAATCATGTTTTAGTTGTGATTCGCTTTGTTTGTATTTGTCTCCAATCCATTAATTCTTTGAGTTCTTCTGTAAAGCTCTGTGCTTACTTAATTTCCTTGATTGATGCCATTAATTTGACACATGATTGCGAGAAAAGATATGAAATTCACTTGGGCTCATTGCACATTGATTATTAGACATATTTGATTTGATCAGTTAAATTGATGGTTTTGGAGCTTCGTTTCAACCTTTTGTGGGTGGTCAAGGGACTTGAAGGAGTGGACCGAGCCAGCGAAGGAAGCTCGCACTTCTCTTTTTGGTGTTGGGGTGGGATAACGGGTTGGTCAAAAGAAAAGAGTATCACATATCAAAATGAATAATTTGTTCTCGCACTAAAATGCTAGCTGATCATCATAATAATCGATGCCCATTATTCACAGAATATGGAATTTCTATATATTTTAATTTGATATTTGATTTTGAGGCAACATGAATTAAACCGTTCAATCTTAGATACATAGAGTGATGTTATTTGCTTATCATTCTTGTTTCAAATATTTGAACTCCTTGCTATGATACAGTTATTGGACAAATTTAAGACGCCCAACTTGGACTTGAACAACTTGAAATTAGGCAAAGGGTGTGCTGCATTAAAAATTCTGGAGTCGCTTGCTATGCTGGAAAGTGTCGATTCACGGCCTATTTTATTCTCCAATCAGCCTGGTTGAACAATATCAAAGATTCTCTAGAAGCCCAAAAGAAAAGCAATTGGAGGTCTTATTGGATCCTTTCACATAAATGGCCCCATCCATATATTCTTCGACGGATTGAAAGTGTAAACTGGAAGGGAAAGAACTGTCTCTCCATATCCTGTGGGCTTTTAGATCCATGATATGGAAAAGAGGAAACAATACACTTTGTTTGTAACTTTTCGATTTTCATAATAACTTATGACGTTCCTATCCAAAAAGTAAAATAAAATTAAATTAAAAAAAAAAGATCTGCGAGGTACTAGAACTCTAGAATCTAAATTATCTTTAGACAATAGCAACCACATACATTAGTCTATAATTTGTTTCAATCACAGAAGCCCGTTTATATACGTAATTTAAAAAGTCTGTCAATAAAGTATAAAATGATAAAACTATAATTCTTATCTCAAAATATGTTTACAAAGTAAGTACTATTATGGATCAAAGCTACTGATAAGAAGATATTCGTTGGGAGAAAAAGAGAGAAAGCAGTGAAAGGACAGTCATGCCTGCAAAAAGAAACTGTCAAAACTTATGGGGAAGAAGAGGCAATCATTACTGACTAAAAATATTTGTTTTAGATTTTGTTTTCTATTTACGCGATATAAGTTTGAAACGAGGTGTGCTGTTTGCTAACAAGGGCTTGTCTCTTATACACAATAATTAAGAAAGCAACATCGAAATTGTCCTTTTTAGAAGCTGTAAGCATCATCAGAGAAAACTAGGACAACCTTTTTTTTTTCTTTTGTTGTTTTTTGTATGATTGAATTGAAAGAACCAGAATACGACTTTGAGACCTTCCCTTTGAAATTGGAGAAAATGTGATTAGAAATATTGAAGCAATAGTTTTGTTTTTAATAACACTTTTTACCATTTTGATAAGATAATGGTATTTGAAAACTTTTTTCGTTTGGTATATGTATTTATCATTGAAACAAAAATAATCATGCGTGAATTATGTAACATATGCTTATCCAATATGAGGATTACAATTTTGGCACCTCTCTATAAGTTATTCATCTAATTTTTCATATGATTCATACTTAAATATAAAAATAATTAATAAATTAAAATAATAAACGTAATGAAAAATAAATTAATATTTGATCAGTCGAATCTTACAAAATTAATGTTTATATTTTTCATATAATTTTAAATTAATTATAAATAATTATAAGCTTAATAGTTACATACTTTGTTATAGATATCGTAATTAAGAACTTATTAAATCAAAATCTTTACTTTTTCATTATTAAAATTTATCAAATCTTCAACTACTTAAGTGTTTAGTTTCGAACAGTAATCCGCACAGTTCCTAAATGAATAAAATCTTTTCAAAGTAAGATTTTACTTATAATAGCAAGTTTTGTTTTTAAAATAAAAGGACAAAAAATTCTTGTCGAATTTTATTTTTGTTAGACAAAAAAATTTATTTTTCTTTTTTTATTTTATGAAACGACTGAGAAAGTGGTTGGAGGCTTAAAGTTTTAGTTTGCTAATATAATATATTTATATAGCCAAACTAAGTTGTAATCCTAAATACAACAGTTGTATGTTAATTTAATTAAGTATCCACGAACTTAATTAATTTCTCGCTTTATTTTAGACTCTTTCAATTAAGTCTAACTTAATTAATTATCTTTATTTAATTTCAATCATGTCATTTAATGTGTGTGACCCATTAAACTTTTAACATGTTGACAATAAAAATAAATGCTAATCAAATATCAATTTAATAATTAATTTATATTTATAGATCATGAACGATATCTAGCAATACATCATGATAACCAAAATATTAGAGAGTTAATTAAAGAATTTGATAAAACTTTTCTGTAATAAGCCTTTCACTGTAATACGGTTATTTCATCAAATATCTCAGATATGTCAATACGTATGGCTCGGTGTCTACTTATAACATTTCATATTAATTTTCATAATTTATGACTAACCTTATGAATTTAAAAAACTAACTTCCTCAAATTCATTATGTTTTGGCCAAAGATTTTATACAAGTTAATCAAGAATGAAGAACAAGTGAGATACATTATCTTATATCACTTAGGGTGATGAATCCTCTCTTGACCACTTATTTAACTTCGAATACTTATAGCATACCCAAAGACACCCTGTTTAGGCATCTAGTTACTTCCAAACCCATAGAAGTGAAATCAAAGTATGTCATTCTCCATATAAGATGACTTGGTGTCTTAAATTTAAGGATTAATTGCACGACTATCACATGAGAATATTTTTTATAGACACTTGTATGAAATACCAAATAAAATTTTCATAATGAGTCATGTTCAATGAACTTATTTTTTAATAAGCACCTACATGTTATTCTCAAGTATCCCATATACTTTAATTTACGAAATCGATTGCTTACTTCCTAAGTAAGGAGGCTTAACATGTATTGGTCTTGGAGTATTGTCAATACCCTATCTTAACAATACAATGACCAAAAATAATTTTAAGAACATGACTTTTACGCATAGTGATCTTATAATTGTAACAATTTTACAATTATCTTGCAAAGCCTTTATGTTTTATGGACTTCATCTAATTAGTTCTTAATAATTTTTTATTATTACACTAACATGAAGAAAAATATCTATTACATATAATTATAGGATTAAATATGTATTTAATGACAACATATATATTTTTACCAATCTAATTGAAAGGACATATACCAACAATTTAAATACACTGTTACCTTTTTTTTGCCCTGGGGTGGGGGGGTTGTTGTTTGGGGTGGAGAAGGAGATGGAGTGTGTTGATAATTTGTTGAGGGAAGATTGTAAGGGAATCAAAGTAAGAAAAATCTAAAGTTCAGGAAATGGAGGTACAAGAATCCTTTTAGCTTTCTTCCACTCATCAATTTGGTGGATCCCATCCCAACTCCCGACTTTAATTTCTCATGAAAAAAGTTTGAAACTCCAAAGTTGGAAATGGAAACACTTTAAAACATGGAATCCGAAATGTTACAATGATTTTGTTCTTTATTAGTATAGCAGGCTCTTTTCACAAGCAAGAGCAGAATCCGGCTGTATATCCTGTGAGATTCCAACAAGATGGGAAAAAGACCAAGTTTTGCACTAAGCCAATAGAAAAAAAAAGGTGATGATCAAGTGGGATAGCAGGAGGAGAGAGTCTGCCCTTAAAGCAATCAATGTGCAGTCTCCTCCATACACGTTCACCTGCAATGGAAAGAGAGGGATAAGGAACCATCTTTTCTCTCACCTGTCTCTCTCAAAGCACCTGCAGCTGAGAGAGGGGAGCGATGGGGTTGAATTTTTTTTGGGAGCTTCCTCTCTTTCATTCCCTAGTTTAACACATCATTTTGTTCAACTTGCATCTTTTATCACTTGGAAAAAATGGTACAATAGTATTTGTTGGTTTTTTTTTCCTTTTCTTTTTAGATTCCGACAAGTATTGCAATTCCTTCAAAAGAAAATCTTATCAAGCAATGACTGATCTAGCTAGCTCGGTGCATGCTTTCTATTAGTCGTGTTCGTTTTTGCTTGTTATAGTAGTTCTTGGGTGTCCCTTTCATAGATTTGCAATTAATGATTTTGCTCTGCAAGGCAGGGATCTGATGCCTTGTGGCTAATCTACCGAGTAAACCTTTGACCTTGGCTGAGCTGGTTGTCCTATTAGAAAGAGTCATTTTTGGCAAATTATGACTATTCTAGATTCTTTTTATTGTAATTTTGATACGTACCATGGCAAGATTCAAAGAGGTGAAAAGAATGCATTCTAAACCTGTAAATATCAGCACCGCAAACCAAGTTAATTACTCACCATGATTAATCTTGGTGTTGTTGTCCACTAGCTAGTATTACTTAGTTTTCATTTTAACCACATGGTTTGGATCTTAAGTCCAAATAGCAGCAACTTTTTCTTTATCAAAGTGATACATGACTGATCCTGAAACATGGATCAGTGAGTGTCCAGGAGAGGAAACAGTGGAAATAAACGCCCCATAAAGCACTGGAGCTTACAATTAACCATAAAGGACATAGCACCTAACTCGAAGAAATTAAAGCGAAGTAGGACACTGGTATACATCAGTTTTTTCAATCCTTATCTCCTGGATGCTTAATCTGATCCACTTTGATTGTAGAAAATTAACCTCAGGTCAGTGCCGAGACCAGGAAGTGACAGGAACAGAGTGTCTTCCACAAATTAATAGCGGTAACTCTCCCGCATCCTCTAATCGCCCAAAATCAAGCGTTAAGAGTTGTGGCGGCGAAATGGGTCTATGCCAAAAGATAAAAAGGATCCATATATGACTAAACAGCTAGCCGAATTATATCTTATTTTGACGTCTTTCAACGTTCCTGCACCCATCCTAATGAGAGTAGCTGGAACTATACTTGGAACATTGAATCATGATAACATTTAGTTGAAAGTCATATTAAAAAATTCTTGTTTGTTTATATGGGCACGAGCAACAAATGCAAGAACACAAGCCAGCCGAGAGAAGCATAAAAAGAGAGAGAGATTTGCTAAGAGGAAAGTGCAGCCTCCCTCCCCCCTTGCAGCCTATCGCTATTGGGAACCCCATAACATGTGGAGTGAGAGATGGTCTAATGATTGAAGAGGACAAGTTGCAAGTGGTGGTCCCTTGTCTCTTGTCCCTTGTGTAAATATAATATTGCTCGAAAGAGTCTAGAGAGAGAGATTGATGGGCAACGAGTCAGACGAGTCAGACGAGTCCATAACAAAATTCCTTCCTCTCTTTGCTGATCGAATATCAGTCAGTGACGAGTCACTCTGCTGCAAGCACCCTCGCGCGCCTGCATGTCTTGGCCCTTTCAGCTACGTGATAAAGCGTATGCCAAAGCAAAAGAGAAACTTTTATATTTCATAACAAGATCATGTCAGCCGATTTTATATATGTACAACATCATTATACATATGTGACAAATCTGTTTGTTCAGATAGTGCAAGATACGCCTAGGCTGCTACAGATTCGTTATTTTACTTTTCTTTCTTTGTTTGCATTAAAGGAAAGTTTAAATACAGATTTCTCACATCTGGGACAATGGATTGCTTAACCATGAGTGATATAATAATCTTACATCGGCTAAAATTTGAGTTAATTGTGATCTTATACTTAGGTTGCAAATAGCAGTATATTTTATGTCAACTTATGCAATTAATGCTTATACTCTTTTAAAGTGGTGAATTTAATTTTTATATAATAATTTGTAAAAATTAATTATTTATATTTTTAAAAATTAACAATATCATTCCAATCACTAACCATGTTAAATTGTTTTTTATTATTTATATTGACATGATATTTAACTATGCTGACATGATACTAAATCTGATGATGTAACATTAAATTTGATGTGTGGCAATGATGATATGACATTTAAAAATGATGGAATAATTATGTAATAAAGCATGTCATTCTAGATAATAGAAAATTTTTAATATCTTTAATGAGTAGATTGACATTATTAATTTTAAAAAATATATAAAAATTTAATTTTTATTAATAAATTCCCTACTTTGATAGTGTGGAGGAACTACATATATTTTAAGAGCTGTTAGCCTGAAAGTAGTAAAGTTGCAAGTGGTATATTGTAATATTTGAAAGACTAAATCTGATCAATTTAGGATTGGACACATGCATTGACACCAACTTGGCCTTGTGAAAGTTCTTTTAACCAATATTAAAACGAGGAAATGGAATATGAAACCTTTACTCCTGGCGTAGATCAACCCACATGCTTAAAAGCAGACAGCACTTTTGAGATTGAGCATTTTTTTTTCTTTTGATAAACCATGACATTGTGCATTTTATAAAAAGATTGAGATTGAGCATTTAAATGATAATAATGGGAAATGGTCCAGCGGGTGACGAAAAATACAGAGAAATAAGACGGTTACTACTACCATAAATTATAGGACCACGAACAATAAAAGCAGTAAATTAATCCCATGACAAATCATCATAGTAGTAGTATTATTTGAGATGGTCCAAATCCACTGGCCTGCATGTGCACCATGTATGCCTTAGGCTCAGGATAGCTGCGCCCTGATCGCTACTTGTACGTCCGCGTGGCAATCACATGCTCCTATGGACCATGCAATTGCAAGCTGCTGCTTCAACTCTCACATCTTAATTTGTAATAAGCCAGCTGCTCTCTACCATGTCACTGTTTTCGTCTTCCAAAACAGCTAGCTAGCTGGACTGCTCTGCAATAGAGTAGTCTTGTTCGAAAAGTCCGCCCTTTACTTTTAAACTATAAAAAATTCTATCACTTCACCAATATTCTGATCATATTCTTTTATGCACTGTGATCCTCTTTCTTTTTCTTTTTATTTCAGTTAAAAATGGAAAAGAATATCCTTAGGCCAAAGTAAATTAAAGGGGGAAAACATATGTTGATATATATGATGATGTTAGTGGGAGAGGAAGCAATTGGCAATGGATCAAGCTAAGAAAGAAAGCATTTTCAAAAGGAAAATGGGATTAAGATGGGTGTAAGGATGGAATTATGGAGAGTACCTTGGGCCAGGTAATAATTAGTAGGCCGAACTTGCTGGTCCTAAGCCGGATTTTACAAGTAGAAGCCTTGGATGTTGATACTTGATCAATACTACTGTTTATCTCTCACTCTCTCTCTTCTTTGAGTTTAATGTCCTTTTGGCAAAGCCGAAGATTCGATTTGTATGTGCCCATCAAGTCCATTCGGTCGGAATAAAACCCACCAACAACATATCTTTAAACCCTAACTAACACCTTCCTGGTAACATTATCATCCTGTCCATATCCACACACTATGAAAACATTGCATATCTTTTGGGAAATATCTTCATTTGCTTATATAAATAATAAATACACGCTATTCATTTCATATCTGATATCGCGGCTTTTCTTTTTGGGTGGGCGCCTTTATCTTTTTTCCTTTTTTTTGCAAAATCTAATAATTTATTGTACCCAAATATCTAATCATCTATAATGCTATACACAGCACATAATGATTTGCTTAGCAAAAAAAACAAAAGAAAGTACCCATATGATTTATATATAAGGTTTTTATCATGAAAAAAACTGAAAAGTACTAGTCAATAGATCAATTTCTCATTTTCTTTATGATATAGACATAAAGATATATAGAATTTTTTACTATGAAATTAAAATAATTTTTTGTCACTGTATAATTAAATCTCATCCTCCTCGTCTTGTCATTCAAACTTGATATCTTTGAAATTGAAATTTCATATTTTATCTCGATCATTGTTGAAAGTTGATTAAATTATATGAAATATTAGAGATCCGTCTTATTAGTTAACCCATTCTTTTCAATAATAATTTTTTTTATATTTGAATAATGGTATTCAAAATCTTTATCTCTTTGTGAGACAGATGAAGAAAATTCCCAGTTCAGAAGTTGGAGTGGCCTATCTATAATCCGAGTTTTATTCACCAAAATAAAACCAAATGTAATATTGTTAGTTGGTTTTTCCAAATTGTGTCGGCATCCATATATCCCGAAACCTACTCTCCTGTACAAGCCTCCAGTCTACAGTGTCAGTAAGCAATGCAACCTTCAATTTGTTTCAGCAACCCTTCCTTTTCCCACCGCCCCCACCTAGATCAATTATATATAAATAAATAGTACAATGTTACATCTCCCCGCTATTATTATCGGCTGAAAGACTAAACCAAGCCTCTTTGTCTTACATCTTCTCAAAAATTTCAGGTATGACTATGACTTCAAGTTTTCCCTGACAATAATTGTTTTAAATACAGCAGACCCCAGCCAAGCGTTGACAGGGAGCAAGCTGTGGTGGAGATTGCATGGACTGTGCATAAATAATCAGTGGTCCAAGCTTCCTATTAGCAAAGCTAGCATTAAGGAAAGATATTAAAGTTAAATTCAATTTATATAATAAGCTGTAAACTAATGAAAAAGGTTATGATCTGCTGAAGATACAAAGAAGACTCGAAGCTCCACTTACATTTTTTTTTGTTAAGTCACTTCCTTCTACATGGGACCTTTACATCATCTTAAAGGTTTTTTTCTTCTTCTTCTTCTGTTGCTTTTTCTTTCTAAATATTTGGATCGATTTTTCATTTTGTTTTGAACAAAAGATCAAGATATATACATATATGCTGATCATTAATGAAAGTTCATGCTTTCCAAAAAAAAAAGAAGATATATACATATATCGTGGTCCCTTTGGAGCTGAAAGTTCCAGGAATCATTAAAAGGATAACTATTCGTTCTATTATTCATTTAGTACAAATCATTTATGTGGTACCCAATATTATGACTATTGAATTTTCAGTCTATATTAAAGGTACACAAAAACTTTTATTGGAAAACTAATTCTGATTTTATTCAAGAAATAACACATTATTCTTTTATATACAATGACCCCAACTCCAATGAAAACTATAGTACACCACCTTGGCAATATGTAAAATAATCCTAGGCCAACTTCTCAAAAAAAACAAAAAGAAAAAGCAAATAGCAATTTACCTCACTATTGGAAAAATGGCAATATACAAGATATTCACACTGAGAATATTTTTTCCTCTAAATCCTTACCAAACCTACCTCCAAGTTCTATCGTTGACAAATACATAAAATAATCACATATATTCCTCTCTGTTTTTTTCTCCACATTTAGTCAAGGGAAGAAGGGCGAAAACAATTTGTCAATGTAGTGCAGAGGAGAGGTAGTCCATTAGTCCATTTTTTTTACTTAGAATCCTTCAAATCATGATTGTGGTGGCACCAGTGAGCGGCCGACTTGAAGGTCATGAAATTTTCTGGGCTCAGCTTTCCAATGATGCTCAATATCTTCAGCTATCCTTTTCGCATCAATGGAGGCACCAAGCAAACCACGCTTTGTAAATCCTACAGCATACAACCCACATTCGCCTTTCCATCCGTTTGGGAATGACTTCCGAGGCAAACCGTCTTTCTCCGAGAAGAAATCTGTCTCCTGATCAGTGCAAGAAGTTCGAGTCAACACATCTTTTCTTGAGTCTCAAGGAACAGAATATATACATTTTAATTCATAACTCAAAAGAAATAGAATTAAAGAGGGGGTTTGAATTTACCTTCAACCATTGTGGTACATTGCTTTTGTAACCGGTGGCAAGGACGATGGCATCGAAATTCTCCTTTCTTCCATTAACAAATTCTGCGGCACGGTATGTTAGTCGCTCTATTCCCGGATAAACCTAAACATTACATAGAAAAATATATTTTAATTATAATATTCGTAACTCTAATGTGATAAAATTAAGATAATAACTAGTTTAGCGGAAACATAACATTCATTGATCATTGAAGTTAAGCAGTAGTAACTTGAAATGCAAGATTTGTCTAGGGTTGGATTAAGTAGAGAAAATATTTGCATTCAACCTTAATGTTTCCAGTCTTGATCTTTGCAAGTGTCCCAACATCCAAAACAGGTGTCTTGCCGGATCTGCTCTTGAGTTCTAGAGGACCAAGCTCCGGGCGACGGAGGCCGAATTTTTCAGTGTCTCCGAGCATAAAACGAGACACCAGAAGTAAAAACCGATCCACGAGGCGCATAGGGAACCACTTGAGCAACCACATGGACAATCCAAAAGTTGATCTGCCTAGCATCTCTTGGGGCAAGACGTGCACCTGCAACAATGAGAAAAAAAAAAAAAAAAGCTTTCTTAAGAAGGCCTTTAAAAAAAGAAGTTTGCGCTAAAGATGAGATGACAAATGAGCGCCCACCAATTACATATGATCAGTTTGCTTCTTCTAGGGCATTTCTCTCATGTCAGTCACTTATCCATATATACCTTTAGAATCTTGGACGTGTGGTGCTTTGTACAGAAGAATTTGCACAGAAAAAAGATATATGGGCTGCACGGCATAAAATTTTGGGCTACTGACTAGTGTTGCGCATGCAACCAAATTCCAAGAAAGTGAGAAAAATTTCACTCTTGTAACTGCTGTACTGTACTTTAATAGCAGCACTTTGGAGTAAATAAAATCCTAAGGTGAAGTCTTAAACAAGGTCTTTGTGTAGGTGAAGCCGGAGGCAAGGAATATTTTATTGCAGTTTTTCTTCCATTTTTGGCTTGGAATGATTTTCACAGGGAAATAAGGTCAATCTCCAATTTATAGGACGTTACAGAAAAAAACTTGACTGTAGCACTTAGGTGAAACCTAGGAAGGGAGCGAAATTAGGCATTTGCCGAAGAAATCAAAAAGATTGCTTCTAGGTTATGATATGAAGGACGAAAAGGGTACAAGTATGCTTACCGAGTCTCTAACGACGAGGGATGGGCGAGCATTATAGTTGCAGAGATCCAAACAGACCTCCATGCCTGAATTGCCACACCCAACCACCAAAACAGCCTTTCCTCGAAACAAGCCGCCACTCTTGTATGAGCTTGTGTGAACTATAGGCCCACCAAAACCATCCATTCCTTCAATTTGCGGCACCACTTCCTCAGCATTCTCCCCAGTGGCTACAATTAGCCACTGAGACACATACTCAGTTTCTTCTTGTTTCAGCCCCACAGTCTTAACACGCCAAAACCCACATCGATGATCAAATTCTGCACTCACTGCGGTTTGGTTGAAAACTGGTTCTAAACCGAATGGTTTTCGTAGGCCTCCAAGTAAGCCACAAACTGCTCTTTGGTGGGATAAGTTGGGAAATTTGCTGGGAATGGCATGAGGGGTAGCTCACAGAATTGCTTTGGAAGGTGAAGGCGAAGACGATCGTAGGTTTTTATCTTCCACAAGGAAGCTATGCAGTCAGCCCTTTCAAGGATTAAGCTAGGGACACCTCTTTCTTTGAGACAAGCAGCTGTGGCAAGACCGGAAGGGCCAGCACCAATGATAACAGGACCGGGCACCCATAAACACCTTGCTACGTAGTATATTCTTTACAATGGTCATGACTCTTTTTCCTCAACTCCTGGTAGTCTCATGTAACAGCATAAAATAACCACAGAATAAGCAACAGTGATTTCAAGAAGCAAAGCTTCTCTAGGTTTCAAAACTTGGATATTCAATGAAGAAAACTATATGGATAAGAGATGCGTGATTAGCGGTTTTTGACACAAGCTAAAACTCATCGTACTTCACAGTTCAACCTCCTCTTTGTCTACCCTTCCTACGATTGAATTAGAAACTGGGATTGGGCTGAGAAGAACGACATGGGTTTTATCTTATCTACAAAGAGATATATAGGAGAGAGAAAATATTCTGCGAATTCCTGGATTTTTGGAAGTATGAATTGAAAGAGTCTTATCCACGTTGTGAAAACAAGGGTTGTGATAGAATTTGGGGCTTCTTTTTTTTTTTTTCCCTCAATCAAGGAGGTTGAAGAGAAAGAGTTGGAAAATAGGTAAGGCAAACAAAATGTAAATAGGGTCTCCCCTCGAGGGAAGGGTCCTACTAGACTGTGGTTCCCCGTCCAGGGAGAGAATCTGTAAAGAGCAAAATGGTTAAAAAAGAACTGAAAATAAAAGAAAGCGAGAAAGAAAGAAAACGCCAGTGAAAGTTCCTAACCATCCGATTCTTGAAGGCCCTCTCTGAACTACTCATCATAAAGATCTTGACAGATCCTGCTGATTGATTATTAATGGTTACTGGGGGAGAAAACCAATCAACTGATCAGCATATGGTTTGAAAGAGAGATAAAGTGTCCAAATTCCTATGAAAATAAATGTGAAAACAGTACATATATTTGTACAAACTCATAAATTGAGAGAAGGGTTGTAAACTTGTATTCATAGGGTTGGTGCTTTTCATTTTTGGTGATTCAATTATTAATGAACAAATTTCAGCTTTCCTCCACTTGATCATGACTTTCCTCAAGTTGAGGATTCCGAGTTG